GGGTTCTCTTGGGTGCCTTGTGAAGGCCTGTTGGGCCTCGTTTTGGCCCCTCCGGGGCTTCCTTGGGCAGTCTTGGGGTCATCCAGGCCGTCTAAAGCCTTTTTGGGGTCTCCTGGGCCGTGTTGGGGCGACGCCGAACACTTTTTTGGCTGTTTTGCACGCTGTTGAAATCCGAATTGGGAATGTGCTAAAATTCCGCGCTCCCCCATGGGAATGAAGCGATCTCTGCGTTGTGATTTCTGTTCAGGACCGACCTCCTGGGCTATACTTGAAGCCTTTGGAGGCAATTTGGGTCGCTTTTGGAGCGCTATTGCGCTGTTTTGGGTCTCTCTTCGGCCTTCCTGATCACCGTTCTGATCGCTTTGGGTCTGCTGGTAAGACTCGGCCAACCGCCCTGTTCGGTCCGGGACGAGCCAAGGTACTTTTGACAAGGGTGTCCTGGGGGCCCAGAAACCCCGGAACCTGGGGGTCCCGCTTTGGGGTGGGGGGGTCGGGGTTCTCCCCTCCCCCGCCCGTAAAAATACAGGAAGAGGAAGATTTCATAGATGCACATCTAGAGATAGAGAGGAACAAAAGAGAAGAGACAGAGAGAGAGAGAGAGAGACAGAGAGACACACAGTAAACCGCAACACGACAGACACGTACACTGACAGACATTGTAAAACATGTAGTTGGGTTTCGTGGATGGACGGTCACCGATCGCCAATATCTGGAATGATTGCGCTATGGTTTCTGGCGCCTTCGAGTCAAACTTCGCCGCTGCGCGATTATTCGATTTCGCGGCGGCGATTCCGTCGGTGGAACAGGACTTCACGATGAGGTTATTCGACAAGCTGGGCTGTACGGTCACTGGGCTCGCACTTGCTTTGCCTTGGAGTTGGGTTCCGCCCATTTCGGCCGTGCATAATACGGACGATCGGCGCGGATAGCCCGCTCCTCCATTGTGGGCACCGTGAGCGCCAGCGCGAAGGCGGTCACGCGGCGTCGCCAATCTGATCAAAGGATCTCATGAATGGGCCGCCCTCGTTCAAATCCGGCGGCGTCTCAATCGATGGCAGGTGCCTGGGCTGCCCAGCCGCGGTACGACTTTCGGCTGCGTCTCGCTGGGAACTTTCGAAGCTAGTACTGGCTCCGAGGATCCGATGGCAAGAAACTGGATTGCTCTCAGTGGATGGGTCACGGCCGCCGCTTTCAAGGGAACGGGCGTTGTTGCCTGGACTGCGGCGGAGTGGATCGTACTGAAGATTGTTCGCGATGCCCGTGCTTCCACCGCCTCTGGTGGCAACGATCCGGTCGATACCATACGGCGCCCGAAAACGGCCACATGGCCCCAGACGGTCGAGCCGCGCCGAGGACTTGCGCAGTGCACGCGTTCACGTGCACGCGTGGCGCCGTTCGTGCAGGCCTCTCGCGTTCTGCTGGGCCCCAGGTTTTTCGTATCTTTGCTTTTGCAGCGTTGCTTGGGAGCCCGCGCGCCATTGGCATCGCGCGCGCCGTGCGTTGAAGCGTTCGCTCCAAAGATGGCGTCCGTGTTCCCCCCCCTTTCCAGCATGTTGTTCGGAGCGGAGTTCGCGCCCTGTCGGCATTGCGCGGCAGTACTGGTAATTCCATTCGTTGTCCCGTTTCGTTCCACATTGTCCGAGGGACACCAGTCCATCCACGGATTGGTCTGTCGTCGCCGCAGTTGTCTACATTTATGTTTATGTATACATATTTATATATATGTATAGATATATGTGACTTTTGTTGAAACGGTGAAGCGCAATATCGTTCAGCTGGCGGAGGTTTTCTCACCGATGCTGGAGAACAGGTTTCGCGGGAAGTTGGCGAAGACTGTCCCGAAGTGGCAGGACATGACGATCACGGACATGGCGGAGCACCTTGGTGTGATGGGGCCGTGTGTGGACGACATGACACGTTGGCAAAAAGTGATCGCGAACAAGACCTCACACCTTAGTCAACTGTTCCTCTGGCCATCAATGATGAAGCGCAAAGAAGAAACATGGGCTCTTCATCGCATATGGCACCTGCCTCCTCAAGCTCTTCCACGTGACGATATGCTTGCGATTGGCTGGTCCCCCGCTCTGAAGCTGGCCCCCCTCGAGCTGAGCAACCGGGCCGCCTTGATGCGCAGCGCCTCCGACTCGGTCCTGGGTTGGCCGTACCAGGCGAAGAGGATGAGGGAGGCGGCGGAGACGGCTTTCAGCTTCTACGTGCGCGCCCGTGGCCACAACCCAATATGCCCCGCCCGAATTGGAAGTCCAGGGCTTCAAGAATGGCTTGAAAAAGAAGGTGGCCAGCGCGTGTGACTCTGCGATGAGTGGTCGGACAGCTGAGAAGGCCCGCCTTCGCATGCAGAAGCTTGCGCATCTTGACTCATCCCCCCCCTCCTGGACGCCATGCCTCACTATGTGCACTGCTCCCCCCTTTGGAGCACCATCCGCAGCGCATGGGGCTCCAACGCCCCCATTCCTGATTCGTTGCCTGCGCGCCTCGGTGTCTGTTGCGGGAACGCAGATGTGTATTCACAGCGCCTTGCTTTGGAGCGCACGGTTACTTGTTTTAAGCGTGTGGCATGCATTCTAAGTTTGACCCAACCAAGCGGTCCCATCCTACAGCAGATTTGGAGAGTGTCCGCCCTGCGAGAGTGACGTTCCTTGCTACATGCAAGCCCGCTGGGCACCGAGTCGCCGGACGTGGAACTTTGTGAAACCACGAGACGTATATATATACGTATATATATATATGTATATATATGTATGGGAGTGCATATGTTCGCACACATATATATAGAAGGAGGAGGAAGGAACACGCAGACAAACATATTTACATATATATATAGCTGTATGTCTGTATCTGTGTATATATTGATGGAGTTCCACGCAATGAAACACATCGAATTGCAGAGGCGGAGAAAGAACGCGACACACAAACACATAGCGCGGAACGCGTCCAGGAGACCCGAATGTAAAAAGTCTCCAGGGCCTGGAGGGCGTCAAGATGGCCCTTAAGATCTTGACCGAATATTACGCCAAAGAGGGTAAAGACCACGGTGCCGCGCAGGGCTCTGGCGAGGGGATCATCGGCCTCTTAGAGGTCTGCGAGAGCGATTTCTCCAAGGGCCTCGCCGAGTACGTCGGCGCGGAGCAGACCGCCGTGGCTGAGTACGAGCAGCAGACGAAGGACCACGAGGTGGAGACGGCGACGAAGCAGCAGGACGTAAAGTACAAGACTAAGGACGGTGGGGAGGTCAACTGTACACGGTCGGTGCTTTTCGTGTCGACGCCGCGACAGTCACAGCGCGGGAGTTCAAGGCTAATTGTTGCGAGTGGCTCACAATAAACCAATATGGAACGATCTGACGATCGAGAAAACTCCGACCATTCAAGGTTGAACGGTCCACGCAAACCAATTCAGAAGTCGTCACGATACGACCTGGCCTTCCTTCTATTCGGCAAAAGCCCTTGCGCGCGCGCCCAGGCGCCGATGGGTCGCCCGAGGCCGGCACGGATGGGAGAAGACCCGGGGAAGAGGAGACACTTGCCGATCGCACACCACTATTTCAGCAGAGGCGGGGGGACTTGGCGTGCCTATGCGCCCACCAAAGCATGCTACAAAAACCCGTTTAGTGGTCTGCGCGAAGTGCTCTCAGATTATGTCTGGCCGAGACCGCGTGTTCCCAACCATCCTGTGGTGTTGGGTCTTCGGTTTGAAGTGGCAGCGCCCCGCGTCACTCCTGCCCCCGTTTCCGATTCCTTCCTTATCCTCCTCCGCTTCTTCCCCTTTCACTCGGCGCCCCGCGTTACCTCGCATCACTGTCTCCCCATTTCCTCCCTCCGCACTCCCTCCTAACCCTGCCTCTGCCCTCCGCATGTCCTCATCGCAATCGTCATCCCTATGGGGACACGGTTTGCGTCCCCATAGGGAGTTCCATCGAAGGCCCCAGTGGGAGGGTTCGTCTGGCGCCACTCCACCCGCTTCGGCACGCCCCATCACGCGCTTCGTGGTCCCAGAGGCAACCCCACCGAAGAACCCAGTGGGAGGAATCGCATGGCGCCAACGTGCACATGTCAGCACACCCCTCACACGTGTCGCGGCCCAGAGGGGGGTTCCACCGAAGACGATATTCACATCTGCGTCATTCACAACTGCATATGGTTGGGTCCTTCGCCAGGATAATTAGAATCAGCTGGTCTCGTTCCCCTGCCAGTGCTTGCATTTAGGAGCTGGGCCAGGGTGTCGGTCCGGCGGCTTCGTGCTCGCCGTCGCCACCCCGTCGCCGGTTTGTCGCCGCCCGTCGTCTGGGCCTGGTTGTCTGTCTGGCGGTCTGTCGGCCTGGTGGTTCGTCGCCACCCGTAGTCTGGGCCTGGGTGTCGGTCTGGCCGCTCTGTGCTTGCCGTCGGCTCCCTGTCGCCGCCTCGCCACCCCTCGCCGTCGGGGCCCGGGTGCCGGTCCAGCGGCTCGGTGCTCGCCGTCACCGCACATACAGGGTCCGGCTTGACTGAGGAGCGCCCATTTTTCAACAGGGGCTCGGTCGTTCCTTTGGTCTGCGTGCGTTCCGCTACCTTCTTTTCGGCGAGCGCCCCTCGTGTTCCTTCAGGCTTCGTAGACCTCACTCTGAGCAAAAAGGGGCCTCGTTCCTTAGTCCTCGTTCCTTAGGTCAGGCCGAGTACTGTATTGCGCCACGTGGATGGCTCCACACAGATTGCAGCACGAAGATTTGATCGGTTCGCTCACTCCGCTGGCCCATTTCGCACCACTGCAGCTGCATGGCGGTGTGCTCGTGCGCATGGGGAAGCGGTCGGGCAGGCAAGACGGTCCTCAAGGAGATCTTCGGAGGTGTGCCGCGTGCCCCGTCGAAGAGAGCCGATAGACTGCCCCGGAGGGCGCCAAGATGGCTCAAGAGAGCTCCAGCTCCTCCTCCTCCTCCTCCTTCTCCTCCTCCTCCTCCTTCCCCTCCTCCTCCTCCTCCTCTTCCTTCTCCTCCTCCTCCTCCTCAGAGTTTCGAGACGTACTTGGGTTGTGGGTCAGAGTCCTCATGGAGTTTCCCGGGGTCTCTTCGGAGGGCTCGCGGGAGCCTGTGGGGACCAGTTCTGAGGCCTTTGGGGAGTCTCCTGGGGGCTTCCTGGGGGCTTCCTGGGGGCCTGTTGGGGGTCCTGGTAGCCTCTTTGGGAGCCTCTGGGGGGGCCTCTGGGGGGGCCTCTTGGGAGGCTATTTTGAAGGCTCTGGGGGCTTCCTGGGCGCCTCTCGGAGCCGAGAGCTCGAAATATCAGTTCGTGTTGCCCCTCTGGGCCCTCGCTTGGGGCCATCCTGGCGCCGTCTTGGGGCCATCGTGGGTCATTTGGGGCCCTCTTGGAGGTTTTCTCTGTGCCGTTTCGGAGCGATCTTGGGGCCTCTTGGGTCGTCCAGGGCGATCGGCAACTCAAAAACGTACCGCACAATTTCTCCAACAATTTGATCAAAACCTCTGATTCGCGTGTCCTCGGGGCCTCGCGAAGTCCTTTTGGAATCCTCCTGGAGCGTCTTGGGCGCTCATTGTGCCGTCTTGGGACCAACGTGGGCCATCTCGGAACGCTCTTGGCCTGAGGCCGTGGGGCGTGCCACCCTTTTGCCGCAGGAGGAGGAGGAGCATAAGGAGGGGAAGGAGGAGGAGGAGGAGGAGGAGGAGGAGGAGGAGGAAGAGGAGCAGGAGGAGGAGGACGAGGAAGAGGAGGAGGAGGAGGAGGAGGAGGAGGGGGGGAGGAGGAGGGGAGGGGGAGGGGAGGGGGGGGGAGGGGGAGGGGGGAGCTCCTTCGGGCGCTCGGGGGGGGGGCCCGAGGCCGCGCCCGGGAGTTCCGGCGTCTCTGAGCCGACGTCGTCGGGGCCCTGCCGGGGTGTTTTCCGGCCGCGGGCCCCCAGGGGCCGCCACGCGCGCGCACCGAAGATCTGAGCGCGCTGTCTCTCTTTTCCATTGCACCCCATCCCTTGTCCCCCCGTGCTGCCCTTCACGTGTACTGTTTGTGGGCACTGTGGCTCAAGGGCGCGATGCTCAGAAATGACCCTAGTCCCCAGCTCCTCTCTCTTCCCGATTCAGCCCGTCCAGATAGCGTCATAACGGTGACGTGCGACGAACACACGCGTCTGGCCATTTGGGCCGGCGAATTGCACCGCATATATTGTAACTCGTGCGGATTGGACCACATAGATTGGTAGATTGCACTGCGCAGCTGTCTCCACATACATAAGATCGCACAACCTGGATTGCACCACGCAGATTGCTCCACAGACGTTGCACAGCATAGATCTCACCACATATATTGAACCACGCAGGTTGCACCACATAGAATGCATCACGCATCGTGCACCTCATAGGTTGCACACCACATAGGTTGCATAACACACTTTGCAACACATATTGCATAACATCGGTTGCTGAGCATGTATTGCACCACAAGGTGTACCACAGACTGCAACATAACAACACAATGCACACTATACGATATATTGTGCGACCAAGATTGCACCACAGTAGTTGCACCACGTAGACTGCTCAACCTGGATTGCACCAGGCATACGACTACTAACACACTGTGTGGCGTCCACCCTGGATAACATGTTCTAGGGACAGCGTGGCGGGCCTCTTAGGAATGTTGGGACGGCCTGCCCCTGCTCAAATGCTGTGCTGTTTTTTTTATCCCTCTCGCGCACACTCAACGTTGCTCCTTCACTGCGCAATCGGCGGATGAAGAGGCGGGCCGCGTTGACAATGGACGAGCCATAAGTCGGGCATGTCTTTCCGCAGGAGGAATATCTCAAAATAGTTTACAAATGGTATGGAGACGGTTTTTACGTATAGTTCATTATTTCTGAGATTTATGGAGTATTTTTTATGTTTCGAAAATTCGCCTTTAGGGGGGCACGCACGACCTTGGAGCCGACGTTGCAAGCCCCAGTGGAGGTCGAACGCAGCCGACCGCTGTACAGAAAAAGCCTGCGCGCGTGCAACGCGCATGCAAGCACACCTGTTGTTTTCCCCCGACGCGCCGATGACTCCAGAGGGCGGCGAGGAGGTCAAGTTGGCTTGGGCGTGGCGTGATAGGAGGGCGAATAATGGTGTATATGTTCTGTGTCTTGGGGGCCCCATATGAGGCCCCCCTGGGCCCCACAAGGAACAGGAAAGGTGCATTTTGGGTGTTACCCTCCCACTGATCGCCCCCACGTGGAGCAACGCGACGGGACAACAAAAGGGGGGCTGAGGGAGCATTCAGGGGGAACAAAAACATGGGGCCGTTTCAAGCCTGGGGAGCGCCGAGCCGTGCCATGCCGGCAGGCGAGCTGCCCACGCGGCGCGCGAGCAAGGCGCGTCGCAGAGGCCCGCGCGAGAGGCGAGCAGGACACCGAGGGGTAGCAGGCGCCACGACAGCATAAGGCCAGGGACACGCACACACGCACACACGCACACGCACACAACACACACACACACACACGCACGCACGCACGCACGCACACACACACTCATACACACACATGCACACACACACACACACACTCACACGCACTTTTCCGTCAGCGGCGAGGCAGCGAAATCCGTTCCGGCGAGCAGTTAGGTAGGGGCACTAACTGGCGAAGCGCACAAACACACATCTATATACGCACGCATTCACGCACACACGCACGCGCGCACACACAAACACACACACCACACACACAAACACACACACACACACACGCATGCACGCTCGCTTGCATTCACGCACGCACGCACGAACGCACACATGATCTTTCAATGCAGGTTGGCCCAACACCGCGATGATTCGCATAATCGCTAGGAAGAATCACCCGTAAGCGTTGTCGATGGAGAGGTTGTGTACCCCCGACGCAGTCAAAGGGCGTGCACGGCGGCATGCACATGCGAGCTAGCGGGAATGGCCTGTAGACAGCGCGGATGTGAGGCGACCTGGAAGTATGGCTAGGAGTTGGAGGCGGATGCCAGGCAGGCAACAAAGCACCAGACGAGTGGCCAGGACAAAAGGTAGAGGCAGCGGCCAGGAGACAGTGCGGCGGTGGCGGTCCGACCGCATGCGGAGAGTCCAGAGGCGAAACCCAGGCAGGACGCGGGACGACGGAGGAGGCGACGTTGGCCACGGTCGCACATACATACACACACATCACCGACCCTGGCCAGGCCGATCCAATCGGCGCTGGAATCCCCTGGCGGTCCTTCGAGAGCCGCCCCTGCCGCGCTCCGTGCGCCAGGGAAGGGGTCCAGCGCCGATCTGAGAAATTCCCACGGACTCCGAAAGTCATGTTTGTTTCACTTTTTGCTCCCCGATCCAAGGCCCAGGATGTCTTCGGCTTGGCCAGCAGAGCATGTTCGCGCCTTGATCCTCGGTGCGGGCACTACGCAGGGCGGCAGACACCCATCCCACATCACGCGCAGCTGCCTGGTAGGTCCAGACGTCGAAGCAGCACATCACCCAGCATATGATCAAGGGAGGAACAACCCCCTGGACCCGATAATTGGCGTTTGCTAACGGCCTTGGGCGTTTACTAAACAGCCCTGCCCTGTCCGATTGTTTCAGGGTGCGTTTACTTAACGGCTTCGTGTGTCGGGGTGATGATTCTGAGGGTGGGTCTTCTGCTCCTTATGTGAGTCCTGCCTCTGGCAGAACAGGATTTGGACATATGCTCTGCGCACGCATGCTTTGGCAACACAGGAAGCATCGGACGGCAAGTCTTTGTGCCGGGTGGCTGGTCTGCGGAGGCCTCCAGAGGTCCTTGGAGTCTCCGGAGGTCCCCGTCCGCCTCTCCCAAGAAGGAGTCCAAGGACTTGGACAAGGCGACCGCTGAGGCCTCGTCCGACCGCTCTGGCGTCCAGACGGAGCTGGAGGCCATGGAGGGATCGAGAGCGGCCAAGAGGGGGGTGATGATTAGGGGGGAGTTGGATATCGTGGCGTGGGCCGTGATATTTCAGATTTCAGGGCGCCTCCTCTTATTTCATTACATCCCTGGCCCGCGCCCTGGGCCGCGCACATGCCGTCGGCAATGGCAATGATTTGCGCCCCCCCCTTCTTGGACGCTGCCCTCTTGGCCGCCCCCGAAGGGAGGGAGGTCGCCAAGGGGGAGACGGGTCTTGAGGGAGACGGGTTCTGAGGTGGTTCGCCGTTTCCAGGCCCTTCGGGTCCTCAAGGGCCCAGGCGTCGTCAAAAAAATGATTCTGGATGGAAAGTTCGTCCTGGGGCGAGGCACCAGGGCCCAGGACCCGTTTCCCTCAGGACCTTTTTTTTCATGCTCAGGAGGGAGGAAGACGGGGGGAGAGATGGAGGGGGAAGGAGGAGGAGGAGGAGGAGGCAGGAGGAGATGGAGGCAGGAGGAGGGGGGAGGAGGGGAGGGGAGGAGGAGGGAGGAGGAGGGAGGAGGAGAGAGGAGGCGGGAGGAGGTACGGTCGGACCGGGGTATAAAACCGAGGTTGGTTCGGGCAGGGCACCACTTGTGTTCTCCTGATTTGTTGGATGTTCTTGTGCATCCTGGGGAGGGTACCCTTGCATGTTCTGTGTGCCCTTGGCCACAGGGGAGTTTTCATGTTCTTGACAGATAGTGTTATGTTCTATGTCCGGACGTACGGAGTGAATGAGGGATGGAATGATGGAGAGAGGGAGTAAGGGGGATGATGAGGAGGACGAGGAGAGGAGGGAGGAGGGAGAGGAGGGTGAGTGACAAAGTTCTTAGTCGTGTAGCGCACGGCGGGACGCCAAGCTTCCAGAGAGCAAGCTTGCAGCTTCTGACTTGAGCGGGCTTCGGAGTGCCGCTGCTTCGCTGCCAGAGCTTGAGGTTCGGATTCCACGTGCGAGCCAAATGTGGTTCGAGGAGGTCCACGGAGGTTCGAGGTGCGCAGCGGCATCCACGACCACCTCAAAACAGGTGTTGCTATTGGCATTTCAGTTTTCTTTGCAACGTAGTTTTGCCAGGGTATTGTAGTTATCAATGTTGCACTGCGGTGTTGTTATGCTAGGTGTGCTTGGCCTGATTTGTCTGGTCTGGGCGTTGCCGGTTTGACTTGGCGGTCCTGTTAGCCTGCCTGGTCCAAGTTTGGTTCATCGCAGTTTGTCATCACATTGTTTTTGCAATGCAGTGTTTGTGTGGTTGATGTGGCGGGTTTGTTTGGTTTACTGAGTCTTGTCAGGGCTTGGCTTGGCTGGTCTGGATGGCTTGCTTGCGTGATGGGTTTGGTTGGTCTGCTTGACTGGTGAGATTTGCTGGTCTTGCCAGTCTACCTGGTCCGATGTTTCTCGTTTGCAATGTGGGTTTGGTCTGGCTGGTGCGGCTGGTCTTGTTAATTTGCTTAGTCTGGTCTGTGCGTTACTGGTCTGGCTGGCTGTTTTTTCTGATTCGTCTGGTTGGTCTGGTCTGGCTGACTCGTCTGGCTTGCTGCACTGATTGGCATGATCAGCCATGCGAGTTCTTATGCCCCAAAATGTAGTAAGGCGCTGGAGAGTACGAAGTTACGGCTTCAGGCGGCATATCTCAAGATTCTTGGTCGTGTAGCGCACGGCCGAACGGCAATATTCCAAACAGCAAGCGGGAAGGTTCAGATTTGAGCTTGAGCTTCTGATTCCGCGTGCGAGTCGAATGTAGTTCGAGGAGGTCCACGGAGTTTCAAGGTGCGCAGCGCCAACCACGGCGCACCCAAAACCGATTGTGTTGGTTTGCAGTGCAGTTTTCTTTGCCGCGCCGTCTTCTGCCTGGTCCAAGTGGTGGTGCCTTGCATCTGTTGTCGCATGGCAGCTTGTTTTGCAAGGCAGTGTTGGTCTGGTTAATGCGGTTGGTGGGTTTGCCCCTCGCAGTCTGATCAGAGCTTGGCTGGTCTAGATGGCTGGTCTGGTTGGTTGATTTGGTGTGGCTGACCCAGCTAGCTGGGTGGTCTGGTCGATCTTGTTGGTTTTTCCTGGCTGTTTTGACTTGCTGGTCTATTTGTTCTGCCGGATCAGGATGTTGTTTAATCAAAGTGTTTGGAATGCAGTGTTTGTCTGACTGGTGTGGTTAGTCTCCTTGATCTGGTCAGTCGGGTCGCGGCATGGCTTGTCTGGATAGCCGGCTGGTTTGGTTGGCCCGGTTGGTCTGGTCTGGTTGACTCGTCTGGCTTGCTGTTCTGATTTGCATCAGCAAGCATGTGATTTCTGGCGTCCCAGAGCATAGTCAGGTCCTGGGGCAGAAGTACTTGTCGCTTCAAGCGGCTCAGAATAATGAGCAGAACGGATGGAGAAGTGGGGAGGAACGGAACTTGGGACGGAGGGAGAGATGCGATGAGGGAGGACAGAGGATGAGGGCGGGAGGAGCAGAAGGGATGAGGAGGAGGAGGGGGAGGAGGAAGAGGAGGAGAAGGAAGGAGCCTACATAAGGAGGTTGAGGGGATGAGCCTGGAGGGGAGGAGGAGGGAGGAGGAGGAGGAGAAGGAGGAAGAGGAGGTTTGAGGCGGAGGAGGAGGAGGTCGAGGGTGGTGCAGGGAGAGGGGGAGGAGCGCAGAATTGGGGAGCAGGAGGAGGAGGGAGGAGGGGGAGGTGCGTAGAGGCAATGTAGGGTAAGGCCCTGCGGAGCCGGCTCCTGGCGGACACGTCGAGCACGGAACGGCCATCTCGGGGGTTGCGACTCTCCTTGCTCGCCCTGTCACGAGTCGTCCCTGCAGCCTTGGGGGCCCTCGGCGCATTCGGGTGTTGCTAGAATTTCAGGCGAGAGGATTCGACCACTGAAGTGAATTTCAACGTTGTCCTGGAATAGAAGTGCGGCAACCATCGTTCAGGATCCAATCCGTGCGGCCGGGAAAAGCGGTTGCCCTGGCGCTGGCGGGGGTCACCGGCAGAGGAATGCATTTCCAAGACCCCCTCTCTTCGAGAGACCCAGCCACCCCCGGCTCGGACCCCCCAGGCACAGGCGCGGCCCGCGAGTCAGGACCCCGACAGAGGCTTCTCCGGTCAAGTCCGCCCAATCAGTGGTCATGTATTTTGGCGACAGTGCCGACGAACTTCGGGTAACCTTTTGAGTCCGCGATCAGTAGTCATTCGAGTTTTCTAGTACGTACATTCGCGTGTTACGGTGACCACCGATGGGCGGGTTCGTGCTGTCGGCGTCTGAGGTTCGGATAGGGCCGCTCCCCGCGCGGCGGGCGTCGCGGGGCCAGGGGCATGGGGTCTCGGCGCCAGGACAACCACGCGTGGAACCCTCATTCCAGAGGATGCTCAAGGCTCCTCGGCAGCGTTTAGGCTGCGCGCGCCCACATCCCTCCTTCTGCTCAACCGCGCCAGCTGCCCCGAACACAGGCACGGGAAACAAGCTTGCGACAGGAACTGTGGTCACGTTCCGTCGCCCGAGGAGTGTCCCTTTGTCCCAGGGTGCACCCTGGATATTCAGGGAGGCCCCGGCAGCCTCCAGAGCACCCTTCGCGAGGCCCAGGGGGCCACAGGGGCTCCAAAGTGAAGCGGAAAGCTGGGGGCACGTTGGGCCAGGGGCACCTTCAGCAACGCCCGACAAATCCACTCGGGAGGAGACAGGGGGCCTGCAGCGGGGCGGCTCTCCCTGTGGGTCTCGGGGAGAAAGCGCACGATCCCGAACGCCCAGAAGAACCGCCGTCGACGCGAGAGCCTGAAGTAGATCCAGGGAGACAAAGACACAGACACTTTTTGCCATCCAGCGAAGCCCTGTGGCAGAGAGACACGGTAAAAGGGAGAGGGAGGAAGGGAGGGAGGGGAAGAGGGGGGGGGGGGGGGGAAACACGCGGCGCTGCGCCCCGCCGCGTGTTCCCTCCCCCCCGCCTCCCTCAGGATATCGTCGATCCCCCGCAAGATAAGGACAGTGGAGGGGAAGCCGAAAGTTCAGAAGACACCGGAAGCTGGTCGGCATCTTGGGCTATGTTGTGTTGCTCCTTTCTGTGTCCCCGGGCCCCGGAAATCTCCGATAACCTTGAGAATTCGGAGAGCGGAGGGGAAGCCGACCATCCAGACGACATGGGGAATTGTTCGGAATCCTGGGATCTGTGTTTCTGTTTCCTGTTCTTTCCCTGGGTCACATCCATTGCCACCCACCAAGCCACCCCAGCCCAACCCGAAGGCCTCAGTTTGCCCTCCATTTCCAGTGGGGGGGGGCGGTCGACCCGAAATGCGGATCTTCGGGTTGGGTTGGGGTGGTCTGCTATGTATCAAGAGGGGATCAAACACACAGACACAATTAATCGTCGACTCCCCGGAAGATGCAGGAAACTATTGGAAGTGGGGGGGAAGACGAAAATCCAAACAAAAATGGAAACGTATGGTGACTCCTGTTATTGGTGTGTCTTTATTTGTGTGTGTGTGTTGTGTCCTTGGGCCCCTTCAGTGTAGGCATCCACGGCGGCATGGTCCAGCCGCAGGCAGCCACGATCCCGGAGGGGAGCGGCGAGGGAGCCCGGCCCTCTGTGCCTGCCTCCGCCGACACTTCTTCGGCTACTGTGGAGGAATATATTCAGAGCGTGAATTACCTACCCCGCTTTCGCTTCCAGGCAAAACCAAGCCATACCACGCGCCTCCTCGTCAAGCGGCCTGACCAGTACAGGCTGCAATTTGGCATCGTTTGGTATCTCTTGGAAGCGAGGGTGGTCAAAAGCGAGGTAGGTTTTTTTTCCCCTAAATATATGTTGACAGAGAAGCATGATCCGGGGACCATGTGCTCCTTGCCTGTTTAGAACAAGTCATTCGTTATGGAATATGTTGTCGATGCTGCTTGCTGAATCTATGCTTAATTCTTCTTCGACAAGCCGCCTGTAGGAGGACATGCCCGACCTGAGGCCATTGGCTGGGGTCGGCGCGGGTCGGGAGCGTGGAGGAGGAGAAGGAGGAGTTGGACTGGCCACGCGCAGAGGGGGGAAAGGTACCCATATCGCTACCCAGCCCCCCGTTTGTGCCTTTCGTCGCCACCGCCAGATTCGCCTCGAAGTTGTGGTCAGGACGCACCCCGGGAGAGGTCCTGGTAGTGGCGGTATCGGTACCTTTTGGTTTTCCTGCCTGCGGGGCTCACGAAATTCGGCCACGCGCAGAGGGGTGAAGTATGGGGGAGGGGGGAAGGCTACTCAAAGCACCCCCTTGCCTTTTAGAAGGCGCGGGCCTTAAGGAGGAGCTGGATCGGACGGGGCTAGGACGAGCATCAATCCGTTCCAGAGCGTTCCAGAATGCTTTTGAGGTGTTCTGGAACGCTCTGAGAAGGCCGCGGCGCCCGAAGCATCCTCCAGAGCCGCTGGATCTCAGAGATTCCCGATGTATCATCACCCGATGTTGTCCTCGTCCTTCGTCTTGGTCGAGGAGGAGAGTGGATGAGAGAAGAGGAGAACGAGGAGCCGGAGGCGAGAGGATGAAAAGGAGGAAAGAAACAGGAGAAGGAGGAGAGAGGAGGAGGAGGAGGAGAAGAGGAGGAGGAGGAGGAGGAGGAGGAGGAGCCGGATCGGCCACGCGCAGCGGGGGGTGGGGGGAGGGGGGACGGCTTCCTGGAGGCATCCCTGCTTCCGAGAAGGCGCGGGCCACGTGTCTGTAAATGTATGGCTGGCGCCCTCTAAGAAGCAGCCTCCGTCTGGGACTCTCTCCCCCCTCCCCCTGCCCCCTGTTCGGATGCAACTCCCCGGAGGTCAAGTTTTGACTTCGCTCCGGTCCGAAATCTGGCCTAATCTCGCTCTGAGTCCCTCTAGATCCGGCTCAAGCCCGCTTGCTCCGCGGCCAGATCAGGCGTAACAGCTTCCCCAATGGGGCTCAATCCTCCTCAATCCTTCCGACGAACGCTTCCCAGTGCAGGCCGCTAAAAGCTGGATTCGGTAGCAAATCATGGGAGCCTTGTGTACCCTCGCAATTGTTTCGCTCGCGTCAATTAGCGTCGATTAGCGTATGGGTGTCGATTGTCTAGCGCTGATTTAGCGTCGGTTAGCGTCGATTCGCGCCAACTTAGCGTCGATTTAGCGTCGACTCAGCGTCGACTAGCGTCGATTCGCACGAGCCGCCAAGATTTGACGGCGCGCAGGGGGGGGGGGTAGCGGGGGGTGGGAAGGCTCTTTAGAAACTCTTCTGCTTCTTAGAATGCGCTGACCTTGTCTGTAAATGCAGGGCCCGGGGCTTCTAAGAGGCAGCCTTCCCCCCTCCCCCGACCACCCTCTTCGCGCCACAGAAAGATGGTATTGGAGGCTCCCATGATCAAGCAGTGGCGAAGCGTCTTGGCTCGCCGATCGGCCCACCAAATAATGTTCTAAAAACCTCTTGTGGTTTACACGACATATTTTTAGAACATGTCTGGTCGAGTCTGTCTTTCGTTACCGCACCGGGTTTGTGTTCTAAGCACCTTGTTCTTGTTCTCAGAACTGTTCTGGATTCCAAGGACATGTCGTGGTAGGCCCGCAGAATTCCCCGGGACGGCCAGCCCCTGCCCCACCCGAGCTGCCGCCCCGAAAGCTGGCGAGGCGGTGCAAAAGTACCTGGACAGCCTGCACTCGGGCTGCGACGAGTCCACCGAGCCCTACGAGGAGCAGGCCCAGAGCACACCGCGGGGGGGGGGGGAGGAGGAGGAGGAGGAGGAGGAGGAGGAGGAGGAGGAGGAGGAGGAGGAGGAGGAGGAGGAGGAGGAGGAGGAGGAGACGAATCTGCGAGGGAGATGCAGGTGTGTCAAGGCGCAGGTAGCGAGGCCTACCTCGCGCTGTGGTTGAGGGAGCAGTTCCAGGACTCTTCGGCTACGCTCGAGGAGGAGGAGAGGAGGAGGAGGAGGAGGAGGAGGAGGAGGAGGAGGGCGAGGAGGAGGAGGAGGAGGAGGAGGAGGGGGCGCCGCCTCTCCAAGGGGGCGCGGGCCGCGCACCCCCGCCTCGGTGGGTCCCCCCTCGGGCGGCGTGGCGACCACGCCGCGGCCGGCAGCCTCGGGCGCCGGAGGGGAACGGACGGCACAGGCACAAGTCTTTCGGCGCCCCGCGCGGACTTCTCGGGCCCGCGCTCGGCCCCCCCCCCTCCTCCTCTCCTCCTCCTCCTCCCACCTCCTCCTCCTCCTCCTCCTCCTCCTCCTCCTCCTCCTCCTCCTCCTCCTCCTCCCACCTCCTCCTCCTGCTTCTCCTCCTCCTCGACGAATCGAGATCCTCTGAGAACCCCGCGCTCCGCGCGCCAGGGAGGTGGGTCCAGCGCATGTGATCCAAGAATCCCGCGCGGAGCGGCAAAAGTTTATGCTTGTGTTTTTTGGTCTTCTTGTACATCTGATCCCTACCCCTCAAAAGTCGCCACTGGTCAGAAAAGGAAAAGGTACCCATCCCTTTTTCCTTCGCCCGTTCCCCTCTTTTTGGGGTCTCCTGCATGGGCGGCCCTCGTCGCCACCGCTGGATTCGCCTCGACGTTCTGGTCAGAACGCACCCCGGGAGAGGTCCGGGGAGTACTTGTACCTGTCGTTCCTTGTGATTTCCAGACAATTTCGCCATTGGGGGGAAGCGGGTCCTGTGTGAAGCGGGTCTTGATGTTATTCGCCGTGTGCGCGCCCCCGGGGCCCTGGGGGAGAGTCCGAGAACGGCTTTGGCCAAGCGGATCCTGGGCCCAGCGTCGGTGCAGGGGAGATTTTTATCTGACGTGACCGCAGGGGCGGATGTCTACACAGGTGCGGGGCCCGGGATCGGATCATCGTGGCCCGCGTCGGCATCGTAGGCGCTTTTCCCACTCCTGACATGCTGGCCTCTTCGCTGTTCGGTGCCCCCTTGTAACCGTCTCGCTGGTGCAGCCAACTCTGCCTCGCCGCCGACGGGGAAGGGTATAGGAGGCGAGGGGGTAAAGACCGCCGTGGGACGGAGAGCCCCCCCACCAGGAAATCGGTTTCGGTTCCGTGCTCGTGTCGTGCGTGCGGGCGTGGGCGAAGCTGCGTGGGCGGGCGAGAGGAATGAAACCCTCACTTGCTAGGGCGCCGCGGGGCCAAACGACCGCCCCACCCGTTTGTCTGGCGGTGGCCGTGGGTGTCCCGCCGTGGTGTCCCGACGGTGTCCCGCGGTGGCCCGCGGGGTCCTGAAGCGCGATGTCCCGTCGGTGTCTCGTCGGTATCCAGCAGTGAGGTCGATCGTGACATCGATCGTGAGATAGACAGTGAGATCGATCTTGCAATCAGTGGTAATATCGATAGTGAGAGGGATCGTGAGGTACATGCTCAGATCGACCGTGAAATCTACCCTGAGATTGATAGTGGCATCGTTCGAGTGATATTGATAGTGGGATCGGTAGTGACGTCCCGTCAGTGTCCCGTCCGTGCCCCGTTGGTTCGTGTGATCGATTGGGAGATCGATTGGGGGATCGATAGTGACATCGATGATGCGATCGATAGTGACATCGATCGTAATATCGATTTCGATATCGATAATGGATTCGATAGTGACATTGGTAGTGATATCGATAATGAGATCGAGTCCGTGAAACGTTGGTTCCCCCCCACACGAACTTCCTTTGTCACCCGAAGGGCTGTCGTATAGGTAGGGATGTCCAGCCGCCTGCGGAAAGCCCCACCACCGTGCCATCCTGCATTCTGGGTGGCGATTGCTCGAGGTGGAAACGGGAGGATTCCACGCGCGACACCTGGTGTCTCTAAGCTTGGGGAGTCGTGATGATGATGATGATGATGATGATGATGATGATGATGATGATGATGATCATGATCATGATCATGATGATGATGATTATGATTATGTTACCGATGCTGATGCTGAAGATGATGGTGATGATGACACTGATGATGATGTTGATGGCGCTGGTGATGTTGGTGATGTTGGTGTCTTTGATGTGTATGATGCTGAAGAGGAACCTGAACATGATGACGATTATGGGCTGCTGCTGCTTTGATCATGGTGGCAATGGCAATGATACGGTTACTGATGATGGTGTTTTGATACCGTTTGGTGACCCCGCATCTCCGCTGTCTCACCGCACGGTGTGATCACCTCACCGTGTGGGCCCCCAAAGAATCAGAGGAGCAAGCGGTCATGATACTGATGATTTCCAGAAGTGTCACAATTCCCCAGATTCCCAAGGTCTCCTCATGTTCCACACGGGTTGCTGAACTAGGGCTGCCTGGATACTCCAGGATGTGTGGAACGTTTCTTGAGGCAGTCGCATTATGACATCATGCTCCTCCCAAAGAGTGCCGAACACATCCGTTGTGATATCTCAAGGCTCGGGGTATCCTCCTCTCCACCGGAACCGCGCGGCAGGTCCGCCGCCGCACCGCGGAGATTGCCGGATTGAAGGAAGCGCTGTCCATTCTCGAGGGCGAGGCCGTGCTCTTGCAGCAGTCCAGGCGTAAGTCCCGCCAAGTCGCATCTTTGCGTGCTTCCGCGTGAGGAGAGGGCGCATTGTGAACCTCATCCATCGCGCCGGAAAGAAAGCGCCATAATCATAGCCAGGTTCGGTTGTATCATCATCACCAGTGTCATCGTTATCATCCTCGTCCTCATCAGCATCCTCATCATTACCATCATCCTCATCATCATCATCATCATCATCGTCATCGTCATCGTCATCGTCATCGTCATCGTCATCATCACCATCATCATCACCGTCACCATCATCGTCTTAATTTCTGTCGTCATCCTGATCATCATCATCATCATCATCATCATCATCATCATCATCATCATGATCGTCATCAGTATCATCAGCATCATCAGCAGCATCATCATCATCCGCATCATCATCATCTTCGTTATCGTCATTGTCAATGTCATCATCAATGTCATCGTCATTGTCGTCGTCGTCACCGTCACCATCACCATCACCGTGTCCATCGTCTCCATGATCGTCACCACCATCGTAACACAATCACTGGCCCGTGCCCGAGGGGAATCGGACCACCATCGTCGTTACTACCATTATCAGCATCATGATCGTCATCATCAGCATCATCATCCGTCTCATCATAATCACCACCATCATCATCATCAACATCATCATCGTCATCGTCGTTGTCATCATCATCATTCGCATATTCATCATCATCATCATCATCATCATCATCATCATCATCATCATCATCATCATCGTCATTCTCATCATCATCATCATCATCATCATCATCATCATCATCCGCATCATCATCATCGTCACCATCATCAGCAGTCTCCCCGCCCTCGTCATCGTCATCAGTATCATTACCATTCTAGCTTGGTTACAGTAGCGGGCCACGATTGTCTCAGTTCCATTCTTTTTCATGAAGTGTGACAACCATATGACAGGATGAGCAGAAGGTCGATGATGATGGTGAGGTGGAGAAAGAGGAACACGATAATGATAACGAATGCGTCGAGGAGCATCGGTTTGGTTGATGACGATGAGGGGGAGGAAGTGAATGTAGTAAGAAACGAGTGTGTTTGACAGGGGAAAAACTGTCTTCCCCTCAACTCTTGAAACTGCTTCTCCACATTCCTCGAACACACCCGTCCATCCTTCTTCTCCACAGTCCTCCCCTCAGGCGAGGAGGCGGAGAAACAGGAGGAGAAAAGTCATTGGAGGCCCGGGGAGGTCTCATGAGGCCTAGTAATAACGACGCCCAGAACTCTCCATCCTCGATCGCCGATCCCTCTTCTGCCTCATGCCGCTCCTCCCTCCTCGTCTTACCTTCCCGATCCTCGAGTCCTCGATCTACCTCATCCCTTCCGATTCATTGAGTGCCCCATCGTCTCCCTCCTCCCACTCTCTTATCCCCCGACATCCTCGGATCCTCGATTGAGGATCCAGGGCTCTGGACGCCCCCAGAGGTCGCCATATGCCTCCAGACTCTCCAGCAGCATCAGAGCCAGCGCTGTCTCCGCTCCTCTGGACCGCGGCCCCGAGCTCACGGAGAATTGCCCCCGATCCTCGGGCCCTCTGGCTCAAGCGCTGGGGGGGGGGGAGGCAGCGGTGCTCGGCCCTGGTCCAGGGTGGCCCCAGCTTCTCCCGGGAGGCGCACGTGGCCTCCAGAGCATCCCCCTTTTCGAGGCCTGGGCAGCTCAGGGAGGAGGAGGAGGAGGAGGAGGAGGAGGAGGAGGAGGAGGAGGAGGAGGAGAAGGGGGAGGAGGAGGAGGAGGAGGAGGAGGAGGAGGAGGAGGAGGAGGAGGAGGAACTCCCATTCCTCCCTTCTCCCCCGTCCGATCTATGGTAGTGGCGGTGGTGGAGAATTGGCCCGTCTGTTGGGGATTCCGAGGCCACTGCACGGCCTGTCACCTTCAAGGGGCTCCACCACAGGCCCCAGAAGCACTTCTGGGAGCACTTCTGGCAGCACCCCAGCAGTCCGCCGCCGTGGAGGCCCGCGGGGGGCGCGCCCGGGGGGGGGGGGCTCCCGAGGACGCCGCCGCCGGGGCCCCGGACGTGACGGAGGACCGCCGCGGGCGCTGGAGACCCCCAACGCTCCATCCCCGCCCCACTCCCGCGCGCTCGGGGGCGCGTCCCACCGGGTGCCTCCCTCCCAAACCAGGCTTTTTGGGAGCAGGAAGCCCCCAGTCGACAAGGAGATGCAAAGCGCTCCGATCATGCCCACGGCTCCCCACCGCCCCGGCCCCCCTTCGGTCCTGAGCAGGTCAGGACAAACGGCTTTTGGCCACTGTTGGCCTCGGGGGGCGCTGACCCGGCCCCGGGATACACCGCTGGTCCCGGGGAAGGGGTCCAGACCTCGGAGCCCCACGTCATGAAATCAGCCTGGCAAAGGACCGGCCAGATGCAGCTGCGAGTACCGCAAGACAGGTGGAAATACGGGAAGGAGGCAAGCAAAAGGACTAAGGCGTGCGTGAGAAGGATGGAGCCGCGTTGCTGATGGGGGCGCAGGGATCAGCCGCAACGGGTTGCATCTGGACGTAACTCGTCACGGCTGATCTGAGCGTCTTTCGGCCCGTCCCTGGGGAGCAGCAGGGCGCCGTCTGGGGAGCAGCAGGCGGCGGGGCCTTTGGTGAGGCTGCTATGGGCCACGAAACGTGCGACTGGTGTGCCAAAATAGCCGCGGTCACGCATGCGATCCCTGCCGGTGTGGCGTTCGTTGGAGCTCCCCAGGGGACCACGACATGTGCAAGGGTATGCCGAAATGGGCACGGTCACGCATGCGATTGCTGCCCCTGGGGCATTCGGCGCAGCTCCCTATGGGGCTACGAACTGTGCAAGGGGTGTGCCGAAACGAGCACGGTCACGCATGCGATCCCTGCCAGTGGGGCGGTGTGCGGAGATCCCTATGAGGCCACGTGTGAGTGCTGGGCCACATGGGGCGCGGTCAGGCATTCGATTCCTGCCATTCGGGCGTTCGATGGAGCTCTATGCGGGGCCACAAATCGTAAGGGGTGGGCCGGAGTCGCGTGGCGAAGACACGCGAACGCAGCCACTGGGACTCCAGGCGGAACTCCCTACAAGGGCCCTGGATCGTGTGAGGGGATGTGCCGACATAAGTACGGTCACGCATGCGAACCTTGCCAACGGGATTTTGGTTGGAACATCGCATGGGGCCACGTGTGAGGGGTGTGCCGACATGGGGGCAGTCACGCGTGCGATTATTGCCACATGAGCCATCGGTGGAACTCCTTAGTGTGCCACGACAGGGTCCGGCTTGAATAAGGAACCTTTTTTTCAAAAGGGGCTCGGTCGTTCCTTTGGTTTGCACGCGTTCTGCTACCTTTTTGGCGGCGAGCCCCCCTGGTGTTCCTTCGGACTGCCTAGACTTACTTCGGAATAAACAAGGGCTTCGTTCCTTATCGCTCCTCAATTCTGGCCGAGTGCTGCAGGGGGAGCTCGCTATGGGGCCGCGAGGCGTGCGAGGGGTGCACCAGCTGGGGATGGCGGCGGCGTGCGGGCGCCAGCCGCTGGGCGAGGGCCGTGGCCTTCGGGCCGCTCCGTCGGCCCAGTGCCAGGGGAGCCTGCTCGGGGCCGAGGCGCGCCCGGGGGCCAGCAGAGCCCCCCGCCCTGCTCCTCCTCCTCCTCCTCCTCCTCCTCCTCCTCCTCCTCCTCCTCCCCTCCTCCTCCTCCTCCTCCTCCTCGTCCTCCTCCTCCGCGTCCTCCTCCTCCTCCTCCTCCTCCTCCTCCTCCTCCTCCTCCTCCTCCTCCTCCTCCTCGCTCGGCGCTGCCCGAGGCAGCAGCCTGGCGGTCGTCTCCGCCCTCCTCGGCCGCCCCCCGACCCGAACCGAAGAGCTCGGCCAGATGGCCGACGCGCGAAGAGCCGAGACGTTTGCCCGTTCTTTCGGGGCCTCCCGGGAGGCCCTCGTCGCCACCGCCGGATTCGCGTCGAGATCCTGGTCAGAAGGCACCCGGGGAGAGGTCTGAGGAGCAACGGCGCGGGTAGCTTTGGGTCTACTCTGGCAGTTCGGTCTTGTCGCGGGCAGCCCCGCTCCCGCACGGCAGGGGTCGGCGTTGCCTTCAGCATTCGAGCTGGAGGTGGAGGAGATGCAGGACGAGGAGGAAGAGGAGGAGGAGGAGGAGGAGGAGGAGGCTGGTGGAGGCGGAGGCGGAGGCGGAGGCGGAGGAGGAGGAGGAGGAGGAGGAGGAGGAGGAGGAGGAGGAGGAGATGGACGAGGACGACCAGGAGGGTCCTCCTCGCCCATCGAGGACCACTCCTGCGGGGGGCGCCGAGCCCCGGCCGCCCCCCTCCTCCTCCCGAGGAGCAGGCCCTCGACGTGGCGGCCCGGCTCTGGCGCTGCTCGGCAGTGGTGGGGATCCACGCCGACCAGGCGGCGGGCGAGATCGTGGACTTCGCCGTGGCGCGGGGGAGGCCTCGCCCGCCTCCCGGCTGCTCGCGCCAGCGGTGCGGGGGTGGCCAGGGCAGCGTCGGCGAAGGGGGATAAGGAGGGGGGGGGGGGGCGAGGGGAAGAGTGGGAGCAGGAGGAGGAGAGGGAGGAGGAGGGAGGGAGAGGGACGAGGAGGGGAAGGGAGGAGACGGAGGAGGAGGAGGAGGAGGAGGAGGAGGAGGAAGGAGGAGGAGGAGGAGGAGGAGGAGGAGGAGGAGGAGGAGGAACAGAAGCAGCACCAGGATGACGAGGGAGGGAGCAGAGGGAGCAGGGACGCAGGAGGAGGGAGGGAGGGAGGGAGGGAGGGAGGGAGGGACGCAGGAGGCGGGATTATGCGGAGGAGGAAGGAGAAGGAATGAGGAGGAGGAGGAGAAGGGGGGAGGAGAGGAGAGAGGAGGAGGAGGAGGAGGAGGAGGAGGAGGAGGAGAAGGAGGAGCAGGTGGCGGAGGCGGAGGCGAGGGCGGAGGTGGTGGAGGAGGAGGAGGAGGAGGAGGAGGAGGCGCAGCAGGAGGAGAGAGGAAGAGGACGAGAGGAGGAGGAGAGCTCCTCCTCCTCCTCCTGCTCCACCTCCTCCTCCTCCTCCTCCTTCTCGTCCTCCTTCTCCTCCTCGTCCTTCTCCCCTCCCATATATCGTCGGAGACCTGGGGATCTTGGACGCACTCTCCCGTCGCGCTCTCCCCCTCCCGTTGCCCTCCTTGCTCCCTTCCGGTTCCACCCCTTTTCGTGTCCCCATGGGGGCGTGCCGCCGCCAGAGTTAAGTCGGGCACGTCCATGTACAGGAAGACCATTCAAAAGCGGTAAGGGATCGTCTGGGGACGATGTTTTTTTTTGTATGTGTGAGCTGTTTACATTTTTCTTTAAGTATTTTTAATGTTTCGTCAAAATTCCCATGTAGGGGGACAGGCCCTACTTAACGCAAGGGTTTCTGCCCGCGACGCCGACGAGGGGTGGCGCGGACGATATCGGGGGGCTCCCACGTGGAAATGGAGACCTCGGCTTTCCTTTTTGGCGTGCCTTCAGTCGGGCACGTCCCTCTACAGGAGGAATATTCAAAAATAGTAGAATCGTCTGGGAACGATTTTTGACCAGTTTCGATTGTTTTTGAGCATTTCTTGGTAATTGGTATTTGTTGTCCGAGATCCGCCTGCTGGAGGACATGCCCAACCTCAGGCGTGCCACGGAACGCCCCCATGCCGGCGAACGCGGGCTGGCATCCCAAGAATGGCCGGCCCCAGCGGCAGGTTTGGTGCATTCGCCCGGGGCCCCGGCGCCAACCGCGTTGCCTGCGGGGAGAGAAAGGGCAACGGAGGATGCAGGAGGGACGGAAGGGGAGGCTGAGGAGGAGGAGAACGAATAGACGAGCAGGGAAGAAGAGGCGGATGGGTTTTGTTTGTGGGCGGGACAGGGACGAGGGGGGATCATGACGCCTGGGGGGAGCATGGGGGAGGAGAAAGGGTACGGAGGCTCCAGAAGGAGAAATGATCGATACATATTTTTCTGTACGCGCGGGCAAAATTTTGAATGCGTATGCCCACGATCTCATGCACTATATTGTTTAAGCCTGGTTCCGTCCTACATCCGCTCTCCCCGTCAATCCTTCCTTGTCCTTCCTTCCTCGCCCTCCGCCATCCCTCGCCATTCCCTCCTCCTCCTCTTCCTCCTCCTCCTCCTCATCATCATCCCCTTCTATCTCTAATCATTTCCTCCCCATTTAACTTATCAGTCATGCCTCCCTACTCCCTCTTTCGCCCTGCGTAGTTGCCCTCCGTCCGCCCTCATCGCCCTTCCTTCTCTCGCCCACCCTCAGCCTTCCATCCTGCCTACCTCCTCCATCCTCACTCATTGTTCTCTCTTTGTCATCCTTTCGTCTCGCCCCCGTCCCGCATATACCCGACGCTAGGCCATTCGCGGTGGTCCCCTGCTGCGTCTACTCCTCCGAGTTTCCCACCCGCAGGCCTCCCATGCCGGCCTGGGGGGAGGCGGAGGACCACATGTAATTCGTAAGCGAAACCGCACCAGGAGGAAATGGAGCAGGAAGAAGAGTATGACGCTGAGTAAGGCGGTGGTGATGGGGTAGGCGAGGTGCTGCAGCATGAGCAGACGCAGGCCGATTCGGGGACAGAGGACCAGCTAAGCAGGATGGGTTGATAAGTTCGGACTCTCTAGCGCTGCGGCTCCTACCCATACAGTGTACCAGGGTCAATGGAAAAAGCACAGGGCCCCCCCCTCACCCCAGAGGCGTCTCTCTTGTGGGATGCCGCCCTTTCCCAGAGACGGGTTCAACTGCCCTTCGCGCTCGTTTCGACAGAGGACACGCAATTCCTGCTGTGCGCAGCCAACGCACCACCTGCAGACGCGCACACCCCTCCCTGGGCGGAGCATGTCGTTGGTGCCGCAGAAGGCGGGCCTGCCGAGCCCCGAGACCCGCCCACCCTTTCTCGCGCCAGTCCTTGTGGGTCCGACCGGCAAGATGCTCTGAGCCCGTTTGCGTGGGTGGAGATCGTTTACACTGTGCCAAGGCCTTGGCATCGCTCGGCCCAGTGGATTTCTGTTCCCGGTGAGGGCCATCGAGGAGCAGGTTGGATCTTCTTGCGACAACATATGCACGGGGAATGGACGTCCGAACGACGGCGAGTAATATGGGTGCAGGTAGTGCACTATGTCCCGAGGCGGGTGCGCGTGGGACGCTGCACCCAGCTTAGCACCTGCATTTGCTGCAGTGCTGCCCTGCGCGTTGGGGTTCTAGAGCCTGGCGTGCGCTGACTGTGGTGTGAGCCTTGACCTTGCGAATCTGTGCGCACCCAGCCCCTAGACCTCCTAGCTCACTCGCGCGATGCCACGCCCATTCCCATTGGCCGATGCACTCGGGTGCATCTATTCGTTCATGCAGTTTGAAGAACGATGTCAAGCTGTGCTTTTTGAACTTCGTGGCAGGCATTGGGACGTTATCATATTCACGGAGACATGGAGGGAAGAGGAAAGCGAGATCTTCACGACAGATGGCAATCATACTTTGTTTGGAAGCGGGGGTACTAAGGGCAAAAACGGCGTCGGCATATTATTACACAGCAGATGGGCGTACATATCATTCCAAACAGTATGCGATAGAGTTGCCGTCTTGCAGATTGATTGTTGTGGCTTTTGGTTCCAGATCATTGACGTCTACATGCCGCACTCGAAAATCGAAGCTTGTTATGTGGATGTTGTGCATGCTATTCTGGACGAGCTCATCCAGACAGCGTGTCGAAGAGGTTGACGGCATTTTATTGCGGGCGATTTCAACGCAGAAGTGGGGCCACGAAGCGGATACGAGGATAACGACGCAATGGGCCCTAATCCAAGTCGACTCCGAAACGCGCGTGGGGAGTTGCTATTTCATTTCTGTTTGGAACACGAACTCTTACTTGCCAACACTTACGCCGAGGCGGTCGCTGAACATTTATGGACGTAATCGAATGCAGGCTTGCACAAGGCAATTCGATTACGTACTCTTGGACTACACGCTTCAACCACTCTTGACATTTTGCAGAGTTGGTGATTGGCTGGATACGGGTTGTGACCACCGGGCTCTTGATTTGAACTTGGCGCTAAGGTGCACGACGAAGCTGGCAGAGAAGAAACATAGCAAGCATTGGGACTGCCCTGTGAGCAAGGCTGTGTACAGGCAAGCACTCGGTTCACAGGACGATGGAAATGCAGAGCACGGAGGTACCGCATCAGATAAACCTGGGTTGTTCGAGCGATGCATGGTTGCAGCTTTGGGAGAGGCGCTTCCGAAGAAAGCCTGGCAACGTAGCTCTAATAGCGAGGATGTAGAATTGCTGGCGTTGATTGCTGAGCGAAGGAGCTTACGGCGGAGCCAATCCATTATCACTGAACAGAAGAAGGCCCGAAGACTTGGAATCAGCCAAAAAATCAAGAAGCTCATCCAGACAAGGCTGAATGATCAGAAGGAAGCAGACATAAGCTGGACATTGACACAATTTCGTGGGATATCTGCAATTTCACAACAGGTGGCGCGAAAAAGAAGCAGCTCATTGCATCCGTGCGCGACGAGTCTGGGGTGGAGCAGTTCTACAAGGACGACATTGCTGAAGTATTCGTTCGTTTCTATGAGAACTTGTTCAAGGGGCGCGACAGAGCGGACACCATCAACAATGGAGAGCGTACTGGAGCACAACAGTTGACAACAGAAGAGATTGACGAAGCACTGAAAGTTATGAACTGTGTAAAATGCAAAGACCAATCGGGAATAGTCGCTGAGATGCTGAAGGCGTCTAGCAACCGCTTCCGGGGCAACGTGCTGGATTTATTCAACGATGTCCTGGACCCGGGCGCAGCAATACCGGAGACGTGGAAGAAAACGCGGTTGATTGTATTATTCAAAAAAGGAGACCCCTTATTTGTGAAGAGCTACCGGTCGATCGCGATCCTTCCAATATTACAAAAGCTCTTTGCGCGCATGTAATGCGGCAGGCTACAGCCGATCATAATTTCACAGCAGTCTACGGCCTACCGAAAACGCTATTCAACAGTGGACCATATGATGGCCATGACCTTACTCACCGAGGGTTGTGCTGAATGGAATCAAATGTTGTGGGTTGCGCTAGTGGACTTTTCGAAAGCATTTGACACGGTCGAACATGTTGCTTTTTGGAAGGTATTGGCTGACTTGGGAGTTGGACTCAATTATCTCGCTTTGCTCCAAAACTTCTTCCGATATCAAGAGGCAGTAGTGTGGGCGGGAACGGAGCCAAGGACATTTGGTATACCACGTGGTGTGAAACAAGGTGTTCCAATACCAGCTTTCTTAGTTATTGCCGTAATTGAAGTAGGTTTTCGCAGTCTGAAGAGAAGGGGGAACAACCTGAACCTTCGCAGGACGGGGCAATGCTACGGTTTTCTCGCGGAGTCCGTGCCGGATCTTCTGAGAAATCTCAGGGTTGCAGACCACGTTCTCTTGTTAGCCCAGAGCGAAGCGGACGTGGTCAAGATGTTGAGGGACCTCAAGGATGAGGCAGCGAAGTACGGTCTAGCTGTACACCTTGGGGAAACAAAGCTTTTAACCAATTCAAGTACGAACGTTGCCTCATCAATTTCGCTGTTCGGATACGACGTCGAGATCTCGAAGCAAGAAGAATCAAACATATATTTGGGGAGACAGTTATCTTTGGGCCACTACCGCGAGGTCGAGTGCACGAAGCGATTGGCGCAGGCGAGGACATCTTTGGCGAAATTTCGGAAAGCATTGTGTTCGAGGACGTATCCTCTACGGCAACGAATGCGACTTTTTGACAGCGTGGTGATCCCAATTGTTTTGCATGGGTGTGGGTGTTGGACAATGGGCACCGCGACGTCGCTTAGATTAAGAACCGCCCTGAGTAAAATGCTACGCGGCATGTTCCGCGTGGCGACAGGCGATGATGAAAGCTGGGCCGATTATATAAGGCGTGCAACCGTACGAGCCGATGAGTATTGAAACAAGTATAACGTCAAATATTGGGGCAGACTTCGGGCGGAGCGAAAATTGAATTATGCTACTCGAATCTTCCTGGACACCGAGGAGAAATGGAACAATAGACTGCTATATTGGAAGCCTTGATTCAGAACTGTAGCCAAACGCTCTGTCGGCAGACCCAGCTTGAGATACGGTGACGCGTTCCGCGCATGATAACACAGTGCTTCCTCTGATCTAATGGGTGTAGGTGTGCCCACGGCGTGCTGCTGGCAGTCCCCCTCCCCTCCTCCTCCGCCTCCTCCTCCTCCTCCTCCTCCTCCTCCTTTTCCTCCTCCTGATCCTCCTCTTCCTCCTCCTTCTCTCGCTCTGCTTAGCCGGCAGGGTTTCTCTGACCGAAAACCTGCACACCAGAGGAATTATTAGTCGCATGTTTTTGCGTGCGCTCGTTGCCGACATTCATTTTCCGACGTGCTCAGCGCGCAGTCTGCCCTCTGGGGGGCCGCTCCGGGTACCGGAGCTGGCGCGCAGACTTCCGTTCCGTTCCGTTTTTGAGGAACCCATAGACCACGTGCTTAGAGTCTGACTACACACCGTGAGCGGGCCCATCCCAGCCACGCGGATCCATGCACGCTGCGCGATGATGACCACACTGGCGGAAAAGAGTTTGACCTGGTGCCGCGACGCGGGCGAAGCATCACCATGCGCGTTCGATGGTTCGGCGTTTGCCGCGAAGCAGGGAGCCGTCCACGCAGGTGTCTCCCGTGACGGAGGTGGTGGAGGAGGAGGCGGAGGAGGAGGAGGAGGAGGAGGAGGAGGAGGAGGAGGGCCACTGTACCCGCAAGAGGCATCAACTATGTTCGAATAACCTCCAAGCTCCCTCTTCTTCATGGGCCCCGTACAACGGTTCATTTTCACTTAGGGAACTGCTTCGTTGGAAGCTATCTGTAGACCCTGAAGCATGCCAAAACGTTCGCGGGATTCCAACGCCACGGATCAACATGACTGTTTGCGGTTGACGATCTTGGCCGCGCCAGAACGCCATTTTTGGAACTTGAATGCCGCGAGCCAAAATAATTTGTGCACCCTCGTAAGCCTGAGTCTTTCTTAAACACCATGCCTGATACGCTCATCATGGGAACCCGTGGAATTCTTGCAAGTTTAAAGACGAATGTGCATGGCGCTAAGGCGAGAACCACATGTTGTAAATGAACCACCCAACATTGGACCCCGTGAATCGATTGCAACTTTTTAGTGACGGGTGTGCGCGGCGCTAAGGCGAAAACCACATTTTGAAAAAGAACCACCCTCAATCCGTGAAAATCGTGCAACGGTCTTAAGACGAATGCGCGCGACGCTGAGGCGGGAACCACATTTTGAAAACCACCCGCCCTCTATCGGCGAAATTGCTGTCAATTTTGATAAGCTTCCGGGTCGTAGACATGTTGAGGATGTCTCAGGCGCAACGCCCCGCCCGCCCTAACAACTGGTTCCGGGGTGCGACAGGGAGAATTTAGGTATCAGGAGAAGGGACGATGGAGGACGAGGACAAGGAGGAGGAGGAGGAGGACGACGAGGAGGAGGAGGAGGCGGAGGAGGAGGACGAGGAGGAGAATGAGGAGGAGGATGGGGAGGATCATGTCGGGCAGGCGCGCCGTCGGGCCTGGGGTGGCGCCCCCTTGTGCCAGAGGGGTTCGGCGTGGCAGCCGCTGGCGATGGGCAAATGGTCCACCACCACCACCACCAGATGTAGGACGGGAGAGAAGGGAGGAGGAGGGCCTCCCCCCCCCTCCTCCCTCCTCCCCCTCCTCTTCCTCCACCTCCCTCCCTCCTCCTCCTCCTTTTCCTCCTTTCCCTCCCCTCCCTCCCTCCCTCCCTCCCCCTCCCTCCCTCCTCCCTCCTCCTCCTCCTCCCTCCTCCTCCTCTCCTCCTCCTCCTCCTCCTCTCCTCCCTCCTCCTCCTCCTCCCTCTCCTCCTCCTCCTCCTCCTCCTCCTCCTCCTCCTCCTCCTCCTCCTCCTCTCCTCGTCCTCCTCCTCCGCATCCGCATCCGCATCATCCTCCTCCTCCTCCTCCTCCTCCTGCTCCTGCTCCTGCTTCTCCTCCTCCCTCTCCTACCTGTGGTAGTGGTGGCTGAACATGGGCCCATCACATGGGGCGCAGGTCGCCTCTGGCTGCTGAACCTCGTCGCCGCCCACCACAGGCGCGCTTGGCGCTTGGCGAGGCCGCATTGCGGCCTGAACGTGCTCTCCACAGGCAGCGCAGGCGCTCGAGTCGGCCACGCCCTTGCTCTGCAGCCTGCGTTGCCTTCGCACGCCTCCGCAGACGAGTGTGCGCACGCGAGCTCTATGCTCCGCCGTCCACCGATGGCTCACTGGCCGCCCTGGCAACGCTCCCGCGGGCTCGACTAGCACACGTGTGAGGCTGGCTTCGGCGCCCCAGCGGTGAGTCCACGCTCGCTGGAGCTGGGCCTTGCATTCTTGGACTGCTTGGCCATGCAGCCACAAGGCGCCCACGTGGCGGAAGCCGCGGAAGCTCGCTGTCGTGTTACCGATGGTGAGCAAGAAATCTCCCTCCAATTGTCAGCTGGGCCGGTGGCCGTCGCTAGAAGTGCGCCCGCAGGACCTCGGTTTGTCGGACTATCGTCCACGGCCGCGGCGCCAGTGAGACCCCGATGTTCCAGCACTTCCGAATTGCTGTTCATGAATTCGCGGGCGCTGCTTCGACTGTCGGGCTGACACTGACCACTTGCGCTGGGTCGACTGCCTCCGCAGGGAGGACCGGCTGCGATGATCTCCGAAGGGGGGCGACCGAAACGACGACGGCGACGACCACGACGCTCGCGAGCCCTCATCGGGGCGGGCACTGTTGGCCGCGGTTTCCTTCCCGGGACACCCCCCTGGACCTCGCCCCGGGCCATTGCCTCCCAGATCCCCAATTTCTGTGGGGAAGGGATCAAAGGGAAGCGGCTTCCTCAGAGGAGAAAGAGGTACCGATACCGCTCGCCTTTCCTCGTTTTCCCCTCTTGGGGGGTTCCTGGGTGGCCATCGTCGCAACTGCTGGGTTCGCTTCGAAATGTTGGTCAGAAGAGACCCCGCGAGAGGCCCCGGGAGCAGCGGCATCGGTACAATAGCCATTTTGGCTCAAGCCAGGTCGTGTTGGCTCAAGCCCCTTGTTAGCCACAAGAACCGTGTCAACAAATAGTCTTGTGCCACAAGGCTATCACGTCCCCCCTTACATTCACCTTCCATACGCTTCGATAGTACAACGATGTCTTCTGTCGGGGATGGGGTCGACAAGCGCGCGCCAGGTACACCTGTCCAGCAATTGTTCAAACAGCACAGGATTCATATAGTTTGCAGGAGATGGAGTTGGTCGACGACGCCGAGACTGCCTTTACGCGACACCTGGCCGGCGCTGGGGGCAGCAGCAATCGCAGTAACGATGGCAGAATCTTTGAGGCCCCTTCGGGAAGTATTGCGGCAACCATCGACGACATTCGGAATTGCATCCATGGACGAGTTCGGCCCGTATCGAGGAAAACATCTCTGCAATCAAAGTAAATGGAGCATCACAACGAGATCTTGAATATGCCACTCGGCCGTTGCCAACGAAGGTCGGCGAGATTGGCACCGAACTCGAGACGCTGAAGGCTCATATGGCGAATCATACAGGGTGCACACAGACGCGCGGTCAACGCCAGAACGCGATTGGCGAACAAATCAACAAGATCGAAAACACATGACACGTGTGACGACCGATATGCCAATATCGTATTCAGCAGCGTCGCAAGGTACAGCGAATGCCTACCACTATCAAGGCCAACGAGCTTCAGCGGCGGCCAGTGGCAACCTCGACAACTTCGATTCCGTCGGATTAGCATGCGCATGCATCGGGATGCCACTGTCTTCGCTTCGCTAAAGGAGAATGTCGTGGCATTTTGTTCGCGAAAGTCGACGGCATGCTTGACCGAAATACGGCGGTCGCCCCCCTGTTACGGAGCAGTGGCCTCAGCTGCTGGGAAAGAGGGCCACTTGGACAACGCAGGACAGGGAGCCTGTCGACCGTGCAGCTTATAGCTCAAATTATGGGATGGGGGCCCCATCCAAACATGAGTTAGCCTTACACGGCCACGGTTTCCGAATAGGCTCCGTTCTCAGTATGTGTTGGTGGGCGGTCGGCCTCGACGGTTCATGCACACGAGATGTTACTTAAAATGGTATGGGAAAACGGTTAGCTTTTGTTGAGGCGATTTGCAAGCAACAGCCAACAGCGTCGCCATCGTTCGAAAGTCCAGAGGTGATGTCCAGACCCATGCGGGCACCCTGGTGGTCCCAGCGCGGCAAGTTGTTGATTCACGCGACCTTCCCAACGCATGCGCCACCGCCAAGTTAGAAGTGCGCGTCGCCTTGGAGAGGCACGCGGTGTGTCCAGTGCGTCACACTGCTGATGGGCACGCGACAACATGTCGAAATTTAGGACAGCCGAGTTATACAGAGCGACTGTGGTTTGAAAACTGTTGTAAATGTAGAGAAACCGTCGGTATCTTTCAGTTCAGACATAACGACATTCTACAGTTCCCAGGCGCAGCGCCTAATGCGTACCTGCCGCATGCCATTTGCATATCTACGAGAGATTCTCACGACCAAGTTTAAAACACACGCCTACCCCTTCCTGTAACTGAGGCTCTCCGTGTGATATACATATATATATATATATAAATATGCATATATATATCAATATATGTACAGAGTGAGAGCGAGAGAGGAAACAAAGAGAGAGAGAGAGAGACAGAGACAGAGACAGAGAACCCCCCCAACAGAAAAACAAATGCTGTACAATAAGATAGTAGGATGTTCAGAAGACCCCCAGCTGCGAATTCTCACGCGCGATCCGGGGTCATCTTTACCTCGGCTTCGGAACAGGTGCCAGAAGAGAGGCGAACCGAAACAAACCTGGGTTTCGTGCGTTTATTCATCTATGTCACAACAATGGTCCTGAGGTTGTCCCTCCCCTTTCTCGTCCTCTTCCCCTCGTCCTTGTATGTCAGTGCTACCATGTTTCACAGAGTTCTAGCGCATGCAATTCTCTGTATATTACGCAATGCTGTATTCTCGATTGCCTACGCGCTGTTACGCGCGTGGCTGCTGTCTGTCTGGCGTTCCCTTCGACCCGATTGGTGTTCCCCTTCTTGCGGCTCTGCGGGACTTTCTTGGGCCGTCTGTGAAGTAGGGGAGTAGGGGGGGGGGGTCACGACCCCTGGGGCCCTTCCCTGGACCCCCCCTTGGGCCTGTCCCGAGACCCCCCAGCGACGCCCCCCGGGACCCCACCCCCGCGGGGGGATCAAAGGGAAGGGGCTTCCTGTTGACTCGATTGCGACGTTGTTCGATTGCCGTTTGGCTGGGTCGCTTGAGGCAGAGGGCCAAGGGAAATAGTGAGAGTGCCGACGGCGACGACGACGACGACTACGCAAACGGATCAGCAGGGCCGGCGACGGCGAACTGTCTCACACGCCATCACGGTTGGCCAGAGTACCGGGCGTGCAACTGCTTGGCGAAATTGGATCGTGGCCGATGGGGGTTCCTACCACGCTCGCCCCGTCCGGAATGGGTGGCGCCTCCGCGGCTCGCGCAGTTTTCTGGGACTGGCCCCCTGTTTTCATTCTCGCACGTTGCATTCTTCGGGTGCAGCAGGAAGGAAAAGCCCGGCCAGGGAGACCAGACGGAAGGGTGGCACAGGACGGGGGAGGTTGGCGACAATGGGGGAGGGGGGCGGGAGAGAGGCAGAAGGCGAGTACCCCTCAACCCAATCCCTTACCAGTTCGCACATTTGGATGCCGAGCTAAACAAGGATCCCGAGAGGGTACGCGATGCAAGGTAGAGCACGGCCTCCTATTGCGTGGAAAAGCACGGCGTGGCATTGAGCGGTGAGCCATTACATCACAAAGCATCGAGTCGCAAAACATGGCACCGGAGAGCATCTGCACACAACAGAACGGTCGCAGCGCATGTCATGGCATGACATTGGGTTCTTTGGAGGGGAAGTGGATCGGCCGGGCCTGCTAGAGCTGCCCACTCACCAGTGACCCCGGGCGGAGCGAAAGCGTCGATTTGACAAACACGCCGGAAAGACCAAATCACTACTTGATTTTGGAAACCTTAGCTCTTAAAAACGCCCTGAGCGTTTTTTGTTGCGTTTTCGAGTTTGGGCTCTTGAAAGGCTGAAAACGCTTCTAAAAAACGCTACGTTGTGTTAGCGTTTTTTGGGTAGTTTTTGGGCGGAATCAGGTTCGTCGCTGTGGTACAGCGTTTTGTTACGTTTATATCTTTTTGGCATGATCGTCAAAGGCTCCTCCTTGCCTCCTCTGCCAGCTTGCCTCCCGCGTTCTCCGCCGTGCCGCCGTTCGCCCTCTCTGCCCCCCCTTCCCTCTCCCAGGGCGACGCGCCTGCCCTGATCCATGAGATGCGCACAGGGGGGGGGGGGGGCGAAGACCAGTTCCCGCGCGGAGACCTGACAACGGTGGAAAAACAGCGCAAAACATTTGTTGTTTTAGCGCAGCAACAGGCAACAACGCACAACAGCGCAAACAACGCAATAACAACTAAAACACACAACGCAACACAAACCTTGACACACACGCAAAAGCATTCTCTGACACCGGTCTAACGCGGGAAGGGGGGGTGGCAGCAGGGGAGGGTGTGCCTCCGCGACGAGTCACCAAGCGACGACCACCGGAAAGCAAATGTGTAACAATATGACGATAGGGATACGCAAGGAGAAGGAAACACGGAATCCACGGAGCTGAAAACGCTAGAAAATTGCCTGGAGACGCTAAAACAACGCATCATGTTCTAGAGTTTTGTTGTTTAATTTTTAAGGTTGATATTTGACAGCGCTAAACTTACATTATACATTGTGACGGCCGGCGTCGTGCAAAAAACCAACGCGCCACTCAGCGCCACTCAGCGCCACTCACGCCATTCAGCGCCAGTCAGCGCCACTCAGCGCCACTCAGCGCCAGTCAGCGCCACTCGTCCATTGCCTGGCGCAGAGTGGCGCAGAGTGGCGCTGAGTGGCGCTGACTGGCGCTAAGTGGCGCTGACTGGCGCTGAGTGGCGCAGAGTGGTGCGGCGACGCACTGGTGGCGCGAACCGGTGCTGAGTGGCGCTGGGTGGCGCTGAGTAGCGCGGAGAGGAGGAGGGGTGCGAGGAGGAGCACGAGGCCGAGGAAGAGGAGGAGAAAGAGGAGGATGAGGGACATGAGGAGGGGCAGGAGGAGGGGGATGGAGGAGGAGGAGGAGGAGGAGGAGGAGGAGGAAGAGGGACAGGAGGAGGTGGAGGAGGAGGAGGCGGAGGATCTGGAGGAGTCCTATTGGAGCCATGGGGCCCTCTCTTCGAGGCATATTGGAGGCCATTTGGGGGCCATCTGAGGATGCATTATGCCGTATCGGTTGGGCTACCCAGAACCCCCTCGGGGTCATCTTGTAGCCTCTCGGGGGCCTCTTGAACCCATCTTGTGGGCTTCGGGATGCCCGATCCAAAAGGAGGACATCGATCAAAGAAAGGGTCACCATCGTGGCGCCATCGCATCCATTACCTTCGTCATCCTTGCCGCCTGCTCCCTCGTCAGCCCTAGCCCATATTGCGCTCATATTTTTGGCAATCGCGATGGCTTGCGCCATCTGCCTCCGCGGCCTCGAGCCAGGCGACTCGTGGTCCTTGCTGCGCGGGCATGCATACCACAAGGATTGCATATCCCAGGAGTTCGACAGGCGTCGCTTGACCCACGTGATGGACCTGCCTTGCCCCCAGTGCGGGCAGACAGGTCGCGACATGGAGGCCGCCGCGGATGGGCTGCTGACAGAGGAGGAGGACGCGGACGTGGGCCTGGCCCGCGACCGCAGTCGCAGCCCCGGCCCGCGATCAGCGGCGCGCCCCAAGCGCGCGCCTGCCCCTCGCGGAAGCTCCGCGCGAGGGGCGTTCCGCATCCCGAACACGCAGGGCGAGGGGCACAGGGTCATTCGCGCGAGGCGGCAGCCCGCGCGGATTGCAGATCCTCCGGTCGATGCCGGGCCAGGGCCGGCGCCCGGCGCCGCGGGGGCGTCGGCGGGGTCGCCGCCACCGCGGCGCGGCCGCGACGAGGGCGACGATGGCGCGCCCATTCCGGCGCTCCGCGGCGCAGTCGTGGCGGCGGGGTCGCCGCCGACGCAACGCGGCGGCGAGGATGAAGGTGAGGGTTCGCCTTTGCCAACGCAGCGGACTGGTCGCTCCCCGGCTCTTCGGGGGAGAACCTGCTCACCGAGGCTGACGTGATTGGCCGACGTGCTTGGCTGACCTGCTCACCTGCTCACCGGGGGAGAACCTGCTCACCGGGCTCTGCGGCCGCTGACGCCTTGGCCGACGTGCTCCGTGACATTGCAGCGTTGGCTAGAGCCCTGCCTGACGGCCCCTGCCACCCGTGGTCGGCGGGGGAGCGGTGCCTCCGCGTGGAGGAGATCGTCCCGGCTGCGGCGCGGAACCACCTGCTGGAGACGCGCGCAGCTGGGTGCGAGCACGCGTTGCGCCCCCGGTGGAAGTCCGAAGCCAAGCTCCAGCATATCTTGGATACGCCCCTGCCCCGGCAGTTCGACATGCGCAGGTGGCGCTGCGCGCAGTGCAAAGTCTCTTTTTCGGTCGGGCCGAGCGACGTCCTGGACGCTCGCCCGTCGGCGCTCCGTTGCGCAGACCCGCGGCGCCCCGCCTGCGGCTTCTACTTCGCCCAGCCCTTCCTGGTCATGGTCTTGCAGAAGTTCATGGAGGTCCTGAACCTGCGCGCGGTGAGGCGCTCCTTGTTCGAGTACCACTCGAACAATGCCCTCGCGCTCGTCGGTGGCGCTCGTAGCCTGTGGTTCGTCGAGGCGATCCCTGGGAATCGCGTGCTGCGACATTGCATTTGCCTCGCGCTCGAGAGCTACCTGCCCGACGAGGTGGCGCGCATGCAGCGGGGGGTCCACGTGCACTCGGGCGCCGCCGTCAAAGGCGACGGCAAGTAGAAGTTGGCCGCCGTAATCCAGGAGACGGCCGGGGGCGCCCACCTTGACTCGCGCTGTTCAGGTGGTGGGTCGGGCGGGAGCACGGAGGGAAGCGGGTCAGAGGTGGCGCCCCTGGTCGCGCCAGGAGAGGCAGACGGTCGACGGCGACGGCGCGGCGGCCGTTCACGAAGCCCGTGGTCGCGCTGGAGACGGAGGACTGGCCCGACCTCAAGGCGTATGGGGGTGCAGATCGCCCGGGGCATTGGCTACCCTATATCCTACTACTTAAGCTTTCCCAGTGGCCCTAGGCTTGACAAGGGTAAGGCCTACTGAAGGCCTTAATTAAGTTTGCCAAAGGGTATGCCTACGGAAGGCTTTTGGGTAGCCCAGAGTAGCCTTAGACGCAAGCCCCAGGGGTAGCCCTTGGGGTAGCCTTACGGGTTGCCCCAGGGGTAGACCTTAGGGGTCGCCCTAGGAGTAGGCCCGATGGGGTGGCCCTTGGATACCCTTAGGGGTCGGCCTTAGGGATCTGTTTCGGATAGCCCCGCGGGTAGGCCCCAGGGGCAGGCCAAGGGTAGCCCTGGGGGTTGGCTTTAGGTGTAGGCCCACGGTAGCCGTAGGCCGTAGGGGGAGAAGGCTCAGGGTGGCTTTAGGGGTGGGCCCTACGGGTAGGCCTAGGGTAGCCCTAGGGGTCAGGCTCTCGGGGCAGGCCCAGGGTCGACCTTCCTTGGGCGATCTATCAGGCCGGCCTTGGGGGGCTGCTCGACTTGACGGCGGCCAACCGTTCCAGCGCAGGGCTGCCGCCGCGGGCGGTGGCGCCTGCCAGCCATTCCACGGACGTCTACGAGAGACACCGGAAGCTGCTGCGGTCGTTGCGTCATAGTAAATTTCCACCTTTGCGCTTTCAGGTGCATGGCGACACACCCAAGGGGCAGGCTCGGGCGTGCTCTCTGGCGGCCGCGCACGGTCCAGGCGCGGTCGTCACCGGCGAGCCCGTGCATAGCCTCTTCGAGGTCAGGCGGCCCGCCCCGGCGAACGCCAACGACGCCGAGGTGTTCCTGGCGGACTACAAGGACGCCATCACCCGGCTGTCGGCGGCGACCCTCCCGCCGAAGGGCGACGGCGTGGGCCAGCCGCAGGGCCTCGAGCCCGAGGCGGAGACCCTGCTCGAGAGGTTCGTGAGCCAGCTCCCCCCGACGTTCCAGCGCGAGGCGGCGCTGGACCCTGTCAACATGGAGCGCGCGCGGACTTTCTTGGCCCAGCCGCGCTGCGCCAGGGCAGGCACCTGGAAACGCGTATTCGGGTCTCTGCCGCCCAGCTGGAGGCGCGTTGGCCCGAATCGCGCGCCTCTGCGATGCCCAGCTGGACAGCTCCGCGTCGCGCTGCAATTACCGCACCGAGAAGGCGTTCAACGCCGAGCTGCGGCGCGTGCAGCGCTGGTACCGGCCGGGGCGCCGGCAGCGACGGTGGCGCACCGGCATCGTGCGCGACCGGCGGCAGGCCGTCACCGTCAAGGGCGCGCGGAGCGTGATCACGCAGAAAGTGCGCGACCACTTCCGCAGGATGCGTCGCCGAGTTAAGGTGGAGGGCTTGATGAATTGGCGGGATGCTGCGCTCGCCGCGCGGCAGGCTGGCATTCCCGTCCAGTCTGGCACCGCCCCAGTGGAGCGCCTGTGGTCCTGCCTCGAGGACATGGTGCCTTCAGCCGCGCGGGGCGTATCGCTCCGCTGGTTTCGGGTCCTCAGCATGGCGATGTTCCTCCGCTACAACTACACGCACTTCAACAAGGACAACCTGCCGACGATGGCGGAGCGGGACCCTCTGCTCGGCCAGCGCCTGGCGACGATCGCCATGCTCGCGCGGGCTGTTAACGAGTCCGACCGGGGCTTGTCGCACCTAGCGCCTCTTCTTGATCCGTTCGGTTCGCGCTGACGCGCCGCGCGGGGCGCGACCTGCTATTTGTTCCTTCCCTTTGATTTTTGTTCGCGCCCGTGGGCCTGGCCGCGCGCTGCAAAGTTCGCGCGAGTTGCCGCCGCCGCGGCCGCGGCCGCGCCATCTTGTAGCATTTCGGCCCCCGGTGCCCCTGGCCCCCACACGCGTGGCCAATATTTGCCTCTAACAGAATGCGCGGCAGTTTGGCTCGTTCTGTCCGCGGCTCCGGTCGCGAGATTTGATGTTCCCTCTGCTTGCTTCTGCGCGGACGGTTCGTATCGCCTCCGCCGCGGCTTCGGCCGCGCGCGGTCGTGCTCTCCGATTGTCTCCGCCTGCGCGGTTCATTCCACGCATATCTCCCTCTCCCTGTCTCTTTATTTTTTGTTCTCTCTCTCTCTCTCTCTCTTTTTCTCTCTCTCTTTCTCTCTCTCTCTCTCTCTCTCCCCCTCTCTCTCGGTCCGCGTCGCAACCGCCCGAGAACCAGTGGCGCCCGCAGGCAGGCGACAACTCTTATGTTTCCGACCTTCCTTTTCTTCCTGCTCCTCCTGCTTTTCTCATTTTGTTGATGCGTTTGTTGGCTTTCGTGAGGCGAATTCGCGTGGTATCTGTGGCTCCCTGTAAGAACCACTGGTTTTCATCACTTTTGTTGTCTTGGCGTCGCGCCGCCCCCTCCTCGCAGTGTCGCTCGCAGCTGTGGTATGTTTGCAGTTGCGCGAAAACTAAGGTTTTCGTATAGGTTTTGTGTCGGAGCTCGCAGATCCCACGGGAAACCCTTCGATTTTTTTGGAAGCGTTTCTGCCCCTGTCCTGCGGGGGGGCGTTGCGCCAGTGGTTCCGCCAGATCCCACCCCCGGGCTCGCGAGATTCCAGCGTACTGATTTGCTTCCTGTGTTCCCATGCTCCTCGTAAGCCCTCCAGTCGTCCTCTGCGTCTTCCTCTAGCTAAGCGTCCCTTCGCCGCAGCTCGCTTGTTCCCGAGGTGAGGATTTCCGCTCTGGCAATCATCCGATGGCGTGGTTTGGCAACCTTTCGATGGCTTATCGAAGAGCGGACAATCTATGCGCGGTATCGAGTGTAGATTGGACACCCCTGCTCCCCCACTGTTTGCGATTGAAGATGGCCCTGTTGTTAGTGTGCACCACCCCCAACCCGAGGATATCGGAGGATCGGATGGGCAGGGAGGAGAGGGAGGGAGGGACGGGGGCGACGCGGCGGGGAAGGGCGGGGCAGGGCCCTCCTACTCGTCGTCGTCGTCCTCCTCCTCCTCCTCCTCCTCCTCGCCCTCCTCCTTTTCGTCTTCGTCCTCGTCCTCCTCCCCACCTTCCCCATCATCTTCTTCCTGCAGCCGCTGAGTGGCGCCGGGTGGCGCTGAGTGGTGCCGAATGGCGCTGACTGGCGCCGAGTGGTGCTGAGAGGCGCCGAGTGGCGTTGAGTGGCGCCGAGTGGCGTTGAGTGGCGTCGAGTGGCGCCGGTCGAAGTTGAGTTGCTCCTTGGAGTAGCGCCGAGTGGCATTGAGTGGCGCTGAATGGCGCAGAGTGACGCCGAGTGGCGCTGAGTGGCGCTGAGTGGCGCGTTGGTTTTTTGACCCCGCGGGGCCGTCACGCTGACATTATATATAGAGACAGAGAGAGAGAGAGAGAGAGAGAGAAACACAAAAAACAAATAAATTTCCCAGACGCCGAGCAAAAAACGCTGAAACAACGCTCTGGGCATATCTAAAATTAGCCCCGGTAAAAAAACAGTACCCGAAGGAGGGTTGGCTACTTGGTCATCAGCTCCAGCTGGGGGGGGGGAAGCTAAAAGTATTCATACTGTGCCGTTAGAGGGCACGACGGAGGAATAATTGACGTGGTGGGGATGATCATGGCGGCGGATGAGGGGGAGATGAAGAAGACGGGTGGGTCAAGGGAGAGGGAGGAAGGGTTGAGGGGGAAGATCGGAGGGAGGTGACTACCGAGGCAGAATATGAAGAGTAGAAGGAGGAAGAAGGATCGTCAGGATGATGAGAAGAAGGGGGCGCGGTACTTTGGGAGGACGGTGACGGGAGTTGGGAGTAGAAAGAGCGAGATGGATGACGATGATGAGAAGGGAGGTTGGAGTTGGGACAGTCGAGTAGGGAGGGCGGAGGAAGGAGGGTGGGTGGGAATTGTGTGTGCGGAGGGGCAGGAGCACAGTAGGTAGGATGGTGAACGTGATCCAGCGCACGAGAGGAAGATCATGAGGACGACGAATTCGATGAGGACAAACGACAGCGACGGACGACGGACGACGGCAATTGGACGGAGACGAAGGCAGACGATGCATGACGGCAGACGGTCTGACGAGACACCAACGGACACGAACGATGTCAGATGTCACAAACATGACATACGACGAGGCAGACAACGACGACAGAACACGGCCGATGGGTGATTGAAGGTTCCGATTGCGACGGAAGCGATGACGTGACCATCACGACCACGACCACGCCACAACGTGACAAGCATAGTTGTCGTCGTCGTTTGTCTGGCTCGTCATCGTAACCGTCTCCGTGAACTAGACCCCTGGACTCGTCTCTTCGTTCTATCCCGACCAGTTATCCCAACCGTATCGTGCTGTCGCGACGAGGATTTCCAGAGACGCCCAAAAATCCGTCGCCGTCGTCACCGCGGCCGTCGTAGCCACAACGCCGACGTCACTGTCACCGCCGTCGTGCTCGATCGCAGTCGATCGCAGTCGTCGCTGCCACATCCAGAGACGTCCCCCAAAAAGGTTCCCAAAATCTTGTCGCAGTGTTAGTTAGGGTGCATCTCCGGGAATGTGAAATTCAGCATCGGCGCAAGCATATCCGTGGTCAAGAGGCTTAATACCGCATAAACTGGGTGAATCGTTCAATCTAGCTTCGTTTGGCTGAGTCTTTCCCGTTTTTTTCCGGCTCAATCTTCTTTGAATGGCCCCCTATAGTTCAATTTCATTTGAGAAAACCCAATCAGTGGATGATTTGAACATTGCTACTATGGATCTTGAGATCGATTGTGAGATCGATAATGAGATCGATAGTGGAATCGATCGGGAGATCGTAAGGACGATCGTAAGACCGATCGTGAGACCGAGAGAGAAATCGTTTCAATGAGATCGATAGTGAGATCGATCGCCAGATCGCTCATGCGATCTCTAGTGAGATTGCTTGTTATATTGATAGTGAGATCGATTGTGAGATCGATGGTGAGATCGATCGAGAAGTCGGTAATGAGATCGATGGTGAGGCCGATCGATGAGAAGATCGACCAGGAACCTGGGAACCCGGGAATTTTGCCGCCCTCCGACATCGGGACCTGGAACCGGGAACTTGGGAACCCGGAACCGGGAACCCAGGAACCCAGCTTGCCACCAAAAACGGCGGGGAAAGTTCGCCAAATCCTTCAGCTTCCGTTAGCTAGGACCCCTTCAGTGCAAGCACTGATTGGGGAACAACCCTTCAATCGATTTGATGAAAGCCTCCCAGGAGTTACTTGCAGATGGTGCTCGTCGCCGCCGCTGTCGTCGTTGTCGTCGTGATCCCTGGCACTCGCCGTCAACAGAAACCACGACCCGAGCTCTGGACCCCGTCATTCTTCTTTGCATTTTTCCAGCAGGATCGATCTGGAATTGGCCCCTGGGCCCGAAGCCGGGCGAAAACACCCGCACATTCTCTCAAGGGCAGATGTGGTTGCGACGCCAGGAACTCGGGGTAGTGGGGGTGTTGCTGCCGCCGCCGCCCCAGGAGGAATGATACGACGAACTCGCCGACGACGAGGACGAAGAGGAGGAGGAGGACGGGGACGAGGACGACGACCACGAGGACGAGGAAGCGGAGGAGGAGAACGACGCCGAGGACAAGGAGAACAAGGACGAGGAGGAGGAGGAGAACGGACAGGCTTCCCGACGGCAGCCTGGTGCGCAGTTACTCGCAACTCCTGGATTTCCTCGTATCGCGGCCGCCGGGCGGCGCGCGGCGGCGAACCCTGGACTTCGAGGCCTCCGACAGCCCTCGGCGGCCCCCCGGCGGCCCCCCGGCGGACCTCGCCCGCCTCGAACCGCCCTCGCAAGCCCAGGTTGGCCTGGGCTGCGGCGACGGTTGCGGCGAGGACGAGGGCGACGCCAGCGACGACGGCGACGAGGACGCGGTTGAGGCGACGATGGCGACGAGGACGAGGGCGGCAGCGACGAGGGCGGCGAGGAGGACGGCGACCACGTCGGACGACGTCGTGCGGAGAGGGCCATCATGGAGGACAGAGTAGCGGGATCATAAAGCGGGCGAGGGAGGAGGGAGGAGTGGAAGAGGCCGTTGCAGGAGGCAGGAGATGATGAGGCATGATGTGGACCAGGTTGAGGGACGATTCTCAGGAAACCGAGAAGAATCAGGGAGGAAGACGAGGCCGAGGAGGAGGAGGGGGAGGAGGGAGGCATGAGGAGAGGAGGGGAGGAGAGAAGGGACGGGGAGGCGGACCATGCTCGACTGCAAATGCATGTCAGGCGCCGAGCGGGGTTCCCAGCAGCCATCGCTCGTAGTGCAATGCTTGGATCCGGTGCCACTGCCACGACCCTTTCTCAAATTACCGGACAGCTCGCCACTTGGCCCCCGACCAGTCCCACGGCAAGGGGCGAGCGTATATACGGTCGCAGCACTTGCGCTGCATGTGTGGACATTGCTTGGACCTATCAGGCGAGGACCCAATGCTGCATTGCGCGGCGTAGGGGTGCCGCGCTGAGCGAAAGGCCACTCCTCCCCTCCTCCCTCCTCATCCTCCCTTCGCCTCCTCCGTCCATCTACCACCTACACCCGTCCAAGTCATCCGTCGTCCTCGTCCTCCTCCGTCGCCCTCCCTCCGCCACTTTCTAAAATTGCCCGCAGCATGTCCTCACCTCGCTGGTCTAAAACTGCCAGCGAAATGTCCTCAGCCCCCTTGCCTGAATATCCTCAGCCACAACAGATGAAACTGCCACCGAATCATCCTTGGCCCCCTGGCCTAAAACTGCCAGCGATCGATCCTCACCCCGTGGCGTAAAACTCCCAGCGATAAATCTTCAGCCACAGGAGATGCAGCTGCCAGCGAAGTATCCTGACCCCCTTGCCTAAAGCTGCCAGCGGCATATCTTCAGCCCCCCCGGCCTAATAGAATCCCGACCTAAGCAGTGAAGAGTGAAGAGTGGGAGGTCCGCACGGATGTCTTGGATCGGCGGTGGGCCCCCCTGGCGGCACCTGTGGCCCCATCCCTGGCGCGCTCCGCGCGGACTTCCGAAGCGTTGTGGTCATGCTGTGGTGGTTCCCCGTATCCAGGAATCCAGAGTTGGGCTGTGGATTTCTCTGGGTCCCTCCCCCCGCGCAGGAAAGAACTCGTCACCCCCTCCCTCCCCTGTTCTTCCCCACGTTCTAGTTGGGGTTCTTGTTTCTCACACGCGAAGTGGGGTAGTTCCCACCATCCTAAGTGGGATCAGTGTTGTCTCTGGACACCCTGCGCAGGAAGCTCCTCATCACCTTCTCCTTATCTCTTCACCATCATCATCATCATGATCATGATCATGATCTTCATCATCATCGCACACACACGCACACTCAATCACTTGCACACATACACTCGTACGGAGGAAGTCTCGAGCGGGAGCCTCGCCTGTGAGTGAATTGTCAGGAAGTTTCGAGCGGGAGCCCTCCTCCCTGAGGTGCCCTCCTCAGATCATATCGGTCATCGTAGGCGGCCGTTGGACGGCCATGTTTAATCTATATATGTTTGATAACATCTGGGAGCCCGAATCCCGACAAAGTCGCGAGCGGGAGCCTCGTCTGTGGGCGAAGTGCCAGTAAGTCTCTCGCGGGAGCCCCCTCCCTGCCCGCAGATCATGTTGGTAATCCGAGGCCGCCATCGGCAAACCCTGCCTGAACACAGTTATTGGGGACACTTGGGAGCCTGAATCCCGTAGAAGTCGCGAGCGGGAGCCTCGTCCGATAGTGGTTTGCGTGGAAGTCTCGAGCGGGCCTGCTGGAGCCCGCAGATCATGTTGGGAAGACTATGGGAAGACTATGTGAAACACTCAAGTTTGGTGACACCTGGGAGCCTGAATCTCGAGGACGTCTCGAGCGGATGCCTCGTCTGTGAGTAAAATGAGACTGAGTCTCGAGCGGGGGCCCGGGCCCGCAGACCATGGTGGCGGCCATCGGAAAACTATGTAAAACACTCAGGTTTGGTGACGCCTGGGAGCCTGAATCCCGAGGAAGTCTCGAGCGGGCGCCTCGTCGACGAGTGAAGCGAGTCTCGAGCGCTTACTCGTCGGTGCGTAGAGTTAGTAAGTCTCGAGCGGGAGCCCCTCCCTGTGGGAGCTCCACTTCGTGTTTTGTATCCAGAGGCGGCCATTGGAAAACCCAGCAAAACCACAAGTTTTGGGACACTTGTGAGCCCGAATTTCCCATACAGTCTCGAGCGGGAGCCCCGTTACCGAGCAAACCAGGAGGATGTCCCGGGAGCGCACTCGTATGCGAGTAAATTTCGCGAGGACGCCTCGAGCGGGAGCCCCTCGCTATGGGGTCCCCACCTCGTGTTAAGTCGGGCCTGTCCCTCTACAGGAGGGAAAAGAATATAGTCAAAAAATAGTCTGGGGACGATTTTTTGTTCGCCAATTTGGCATTTGGGGTGTATGTTTTTAGTATTTTTATTTGTCGTCCAAGATCCCCCTGTAGGGGGACACGCCCGACTTAAACCTCGTGTTTGTACTCCGAGGCGGCCATCGGAAAACCGGGTAAGAACACAGGCTTGGTGACACTTGTGAGCCTGCATCCCCAGGAGGTCTCGAGCGGAAGCCTCTGGGCGAATCGAGGATGTCTCGGGCGCTCACAAGTCCTCCGAGTAACTCGCGAGGACGCTTCGGGCCGGAGCCCCCCACCCCCCCCATGGGATCCCCACCTCGTGTGTGTGCAATCTGAGGCGGCCATCGGAAAACTTACTAAAAACACAGGCTTGGTGACACCTGTGAGTCTGAATCCCTATTGTTATCAAGTCTCGAGCGGGAGCCCCGTTCCTGAGCGATCTGAGAATGTCTCGAGCGGGAGCCTCGTTCCCGAGCAAACTGAGAGGGATGTCTCGGGCGTTTGCCTGCGAGCGAATCGCGAGGCCCCATCCTACGGGCCCCCCGCTTCATGGTATTGGATCGGGGTGACCCTCAGGACTCCCGCTAAGAGCACAGGTTTGGTGACACCTGGGAGCCTTGAACAAGTCTCGAGCGGCAGCCTCGTTTCTTCGTTCATCGTGCTTTGTAATCTGAGGCGGCCATCCTCCATCAAGCTTCTCAGCGTCGGCAAGGATCAGCAGAGACTGGACTGGAAGAGGGCCCCCGTAGCAACGAGGACGACATTGCGGATTACTTCCAGATCATTAGTTACTCGGCGGCGAGCCAGGGGCAGGCCTTCCCGGACGGCCTGGAAGCCCCCGGCCTTCTGAGAAGGTTGCGAAGCCTTCCCCGAAGACACAGTCATCTTCTCAGAAGGCGCGAGGGCATCGCAGAAGTCCCGCCGCCTCCTGAGAGGGCCTTCTGCTTCTCACTTCCCGCCCTCGCTCGCCGCCGAGTTTTTGAATTCAAATTTGGTTTTTGAATTCCAAAAACTGGTTTTTGCATTCAAAAGCTGGTTTGAACCTGGTTTATTGAATTCCGAAAAGAAGCTTCTCATGTGGGGTCCTGCCCCGAGGGCAGCTCATTCCTCCACTCCTGCCACCGCCCGGCTGCGGCCGACGGGCAGAAGCAGAGGACGGCCCGGCCAGCTTTCCAGAGGCGTCGTGGCACAAGTGGTTTTTGAATTCCCAAAATTGTTTTATAATTCAAAAAACAAGTTTTTGAATTATGGAGGAGGATTTTGCATTCAAAAATCAAGTGGAGGAGGAGGGGCGAGGAGAGCCTTCACAGGCGACTGTTTTCCCCCGCCCCCCGTCTTTTCGAAGAAAGATGATGCCGCTCAGAAAATGAGGGCAACCCTGGGATGCACCCCAAAGGGGGCTGCTCGAACGCACCCCTATCGAGGATGGACGCCCCCCCTATCGTACGTATATCCCAGGCTTGGGACTGACATGTCTTGTCCATTCGAAAGGCCCACGAAGCCTGGGATAGGGGCCGACATATCCGCTCGTAACCCACCCCACCTCTCAGCCCGCTTCGGTGGGTTCTCTAGAGGTTTGAGGTTCGAGACTCGAGGATCGAGGGTCGAGGATCGATCCTCGTGGTTCTTGGGCGCCTTTTTGATATCTTCGGGCCTCCAGAAGGCCTCCCTTTCGCCGCGGCTGACAGTCCGTTAGAAGTCCGAGGTCCGTCTTTTCAGGACTGGACGGAAAAGGATGGGGAGGAGGAGTGGAGGGAAGCAGGCCGCGGAGGAGGCGGCGGAGCAGGAGGCGGAGGAGGGAAAGGGCGGCGTGGAGGAGGGGATGGAGGGTGAGGGAGGAGGAGGAGGAGGAGGAGGAGGAGGAAGAGGCGGCGGAGGAGGAGGAAGGAGGTCCGAGGGGCAGGGAGGAGGAGGAGGAGGAGGAAGAGGAGGAAGAGGAGGAGGAAGGTGGAGGAGGATGAGTCGGAGGCGGAGTGCGGAGTGTGGAGCGCGGAGCGCGGGAGTCATCCCCGGGCGCAGGGCAAGAACGTCGTGGTCTATTGGTCGCCCGCGTGGGTCGGCGGCGACGGCGCCTGCGACGCAGGCCCCGCTCACGCCTCCCCCCTCGGGCGCTCTGGACGGCCCCAGGCGGTGGCCACCAGGACCTGCCAGGTCCAGCCCGAGCCAATCGATCCGATTCAACATCGATTTCGGCGCCTCCCAGGTGGGGTCGGAGCAGATGGGGTTGGAGGATCGCGCCGCATCGCCGATGCATCGCCGATGCGGCTCGATGCGGAGCCCGATTTTCTCAACGCCGACGTCGCCGATGTCGCCGATGCATCGCCGATGCATTGGCGATGCGGCGCGATCATTCGACCCCATCTACTCGGACCCCATCTCGGAGGCCTCTAGGTGTTCCGCGATCCGGCGCTGCCCGAAGCTCGCGCGGCGCTGCGCTTGGCGTCCTGGCGCGGCCGGTCCGACTCGATGCCGACGCCGTGCCGTTGTGGCCCGATGAGATGCGCATGCGGAGTCCGATATCCAGCCTTTCGACTCGGTGTTGACCGATCCAGGAGGAGGAGGAGGAGGACGAGGAGGAGGAGGACGAGGACGAGGAGGAGGAGGAGGAGGACGAGGACGAGGACGAGGAGGAGGAAGAGGATGAGGACTAGGACGAGGACGAGGACGAGGACGAGAAGGAGGACGATGACAAGGACGAGGACAAGGGCGAGGACGAGGAGGAGGACGAGGACGAGGACGAGGACGAGGAGGAGGACGAGGAGGACGAGGAGGAAGAGAGAGGAGGAGGACGAGGACGAGGACGAGGAGGATGACGAGAGGGAGGAGGAGGAGGAGGAGGAGGAGGAGGAGGACGAGGAGGAGGAGGAGGAGGAGGAGGAGGAGGAGGAGGAGGAGGAGTTCGAGGACGAGGACGATGACGAGGGCGAGGAGGAGGAGGATGAGGAGGAGAAGGACGAGGAGGAGGAAGAGGAGGACGACGAGGATGAGGACAAGAACGAGGACGAGGACGAGGGGAAGGAGAAGGAGGAGGAGGAGGAGGAGGAGGAGGAGGAGGAGGAGGAGGAGGAGGAGGGGGAGGTGCACCTCGCCGCCACTCGCTCCAGTGGTGTCCTTCCTGACGGCGCAGCCTTCCTCTCCCCGGCCTCCGCGGCCGCCGCGACCTTTCCTGCGCTTCGCGTTCCCTCGTGCGCCAGTCGCTTCGCCGTGCCCCAGCTCCAGCTGCGTGCGCTCGCCGAGCCCAGGGGCGTGCCGGCCACCAGAGACCCTCCAGGAGGAGGACAAGGAGGAGGAGGAGGAGGAGGAGGAGGAAGACGAGGAGGACGATGAGGACAAGGAGGAGGACGACGACGAGGAGGAGGACGAGGAGGAGGACGAGGAGGAGCAGGAGGAGTAGGAGGAGGGAGGAGGGAGGAGAATGGAGGAGAATGGAGGAGGGAGGGGAGCAGAAGATGGGAGGATAATGCAAGAGTGAGGACCGAGGAGAGGCCCTCCAAGGGACGTCCAGGATGGGTGTGAGGGCCAGGGTGTGGACATCATGGCGTGGGCCACGGGATCTCCCAGAGTGCACGGCCCCGCTCCTTCGTTCGTCCCCTCCCCATTTCCTTCGTCAACGCACAGACTTCGGGCCACGAGGTGGCCCTCCCCCTCCTGGGGTGGCCGCCCCCCTGACCAGGAGCAAGGCCAAGGGAGCCGGCGAGGCATGCCCCGTCCTTGCCTAACTTATTAGTGTTTGTTGTTTGTGGTTGGGCGACCTCCCGACTCTCCGAGGCGCTGTCGGCCGATCTCTGTCAGCATGGGGGAAGCGGGTCCTGAAGGACATGTTTTATGGACCCTGGCGCCTTCCCCCGGGACGACTTTTCTATCCTGAGTCGTTTCCTGACGGGCCCGAAAGCCCGAGAGCGGTGACAAATCCTCGGGGCCCGTTTCTCTCGGGACCCGTTTCCCCGATGGTTGCGACCGTCCGCCCCCCCCGCGCACGCGTGCCTCTTCCATGGGCGGGCGCCTGCCGCGGAGCGCGCGCGACCACCGCGGGCCCAGGCGGCGGCGCCCTCGCCGAGCCGCTGACGCCGCAGGGCGCGGGGCGCGGCGCCGGCTGAGCGCCCAGGGGCCTCGAGATCCACCTCCTCTCTCCCTTTCCCTTCGTTGCCTCCTCTTCGTTGCCTCCCCCCCCCTTCCTCCTCCGCCCTCCGCCCCTCCCCACTTCCTCCTCCGCCCCATCTCCTCCTCCTGCCTCCTGCCCCCCCCCCTTCGTTGCTCCCCCCCCTTCTTCAGCCGCCCCCCCCCCTGCCTTTCTCCTCCGCCCCCTCTCCTCCTCCTGCCTCCTGCCCCCCTTTTCGCTGCCTTCTCCTCCTCGTCCTCCTCCTGCCTGTCGCCCCTGGTGCTCTTCTCCCCTTCCGCTTCCTCGCCCGATTCATCAGCTCTGCTCGACGTCGCCCCCCCCCCTCCCCGAGCCCCCCCCCCCGCCGCCAGCGCGGCTGGCCAGTCGCGCCCCCCGGGGCCGCAGCGGCGCCGCGAGGCTGGGAGGGAACAAGAAGCGGGTGCAGCGGGCTGCGAGCGTGGTGTGGCGAGGGGCGGGGTCAGGCGGCACGGGGCTGCGAGGGCGGCGGATGCCTGCCCGCGCCGCGCAGCCGGCGCCTGCTCCTTGGGGCCCTTCTCGGAGGGGGCGGCGCGCATCGGACAGGCACCGTGGTAATGTGCGTGTGTGTGTGTGTTGTGTGTTGTGATTTGCGCAAATAGGCATGCCATGTTGCGAGTGCCGCATCTAACCATGCATGCATACATACATAGATATAGGTGTGCATATGCCTATGTACGTTTACATCCACACAGTAACACCTACATGCAGACGCATGCCAGCATACATGATTGCATACGAATGTGTGCATGCATATGTGTGTTTGTATACATAGACGTTCGTGCGTTCTTATAAATTACCCAGCGTGACCCTACCTAGAAGTTGGAGCCCCCTAGGAAAGCAGCATTAGTTGCAACGCTATGCCATGCCATGCCATGCTATGCTGCGCTATGCTATGCTGCGCTATGCTATGCTATGATATGCTATGCTATGCTGTCCTATGCTATGCTAAGCTATGCCATGTCATGCTGTGCTGTGCTAAGCTATGTTATGGTATGCTATGCTATGCTATGCTAAGCTGCGCTATGCTTTGCTATGCTATGCTTTGCTAGGCTATGCTATGCTGCGCTATGCTATGCTATGCTGTGATATGCTTGGCTATGCTATGCTAAGCTAAGCTAAGATGAGTTAAGCAACGCTAAGCTAAGGCGACGTAACTGGGGGAACCGCGGGGCGGGTACGGGGGGAACCGCCAGGGGCGGTGTGCACTGCCCGGCCCTTTAAGCCCAGAGAGTAAGAACCCTTCTAGGATTAGCCTAGGTAGGGAATGCTCATATCAATATATGCGTAGACAAGTAATTGTTTACGTAATATAACGATGTGTGCATGCGCATGTCATTTCATGTATTCACATGTGCGTGTGTACATGTACATAATACGCGTCTACGTGTGTATATAAGTGAAGGGCCCCCTTCCTCCTCCTCTCCTCTTCTTTCTTTCGTTTCTACACTCTGCCTTCCATCTCTTCTCCACTTTCCTCCGCCTCCCTTCACATCTCCACCGTTCCTGCTTCCTGCAGCTGGGGGCTGGAAAACAAACGAACGGACACCTAAACCATCCATAGAAGCGGAAGTGTTGGCAGCCAACCATTGTGATTTTTGTCTGACAATTTTTGGGAACCCTTCTCTAGAATAAAATCCGAGGAGAAACCGTCCGCAGGGAAACGTTCAAAGGGAAACCGCAGGAGCAGTGAGGAGGAGGAGGGGGAGGAGGAAGAGAGCGCTACGAGCAGGCCGTCGTCAAGGCAGGCTGTCGTGGGGGTAGGGGACGAAGCCTGACGCAGAAGGTGCGCGATCGTCCGCGCACGCGCGCGGCCTCGCCCGCCCGCGATCTCGCGCGCGGGGCGCCGCCCGCCCACCCGCCCGCCCGCCCGCCCGCGATCGCTTCGAATCGTAAGACCCGTTTGGCGGGCCGATTTCCCACCACCACTACCATAGGTAGGAAAGGGAAGAGGAGGAGGAGGAGGAGGAGGAGAAGGACCAGTGTAAACCCAAGAGTCATCAACGATGTTGGAGTAAACCCTCCCTCCAAGCTCCCTTCTTCATGGGCCCCTACAACTGTTCATTTCAACTGATGGAACTGCCTCGTTGGAAGACACCCGTTTGAAGACCCTGAAGCATGCCTTAACAGTGTTCTCGTGATTCCAACGCCACGGATCAACCTGACTGGTGCGTCTTGACGATCTTGAATCGCGCCAGAACGCCACTGCTAGGACTTCAACACAGAGAATCAACGTAACTGTTGCACCCGCGTAATCCTGAATCCTTCCTAAACACCGTTTCTGGTACGTTGATGATGGGAATCCGTGAATCGCTTGCAAATGAGGAGGAGGAGGAGGAGGAGGAGCTCCCCATCCTCACTACTCCCCCGTCCTACCTATGGTAGTGGTCTTGGAAAATGGGCCCATCACCGTTCGCCCGCCCGCGCTCACGCGCCTCGCGCGCGCGCGGGGGCGTGCACACGACTTGCAGGGGCCGCCGCCGGGCGCCGCGCAGCGGGCTCCCCCCCTCGGCGCGCGTCGCGCCCCCCCCTCTCCCGGAGGACGCCCGCTGTGCGCCCGCAGACCGCTCCCTGTTGGGCTGGATCCTGGGCCCAGAGCGGTGTTCTAGGCCTCTCCTAGATGGGGTCCGAGTGGATGGGGTCGAAGGATCGCGCCGCAGCGCCGATGCATCGCCAATGCGGCTCGAGGCGGAGCCCAATTTGCTTCACGCCGACGTCGACGATGTATCGCCGGTGCATCGCCGGTGCATCACCAATGTATCGCCGATGCGGCGCGATTTTCACACCCCATCTACTCCGACCCCATCCAGGAGGCCTCTAGTTGTGCAGACCGGGATCTGTGGGGGAGCTCCTAGGACTCGTGCCTATTCCTCTGTGTGTCCCTGGGCCTTTCCGCGGCTGAGTGCCCTCCGCATCCTCTTGTCCCTGGCGGCCGCCCCGCCTGTCAAGTCCCCCTCCTCCTGCACGCCGGCCCCTCGGCGTTGCAGTCGCCCCGAGCGCCTATCGCCGGTGCAGCTCTTCTGCCTCGCCGCCGACGGACAAAATCAGAGCCCCGAATCATCAGGGGTAACTCGGGTCAGGGATAACTCGGGTTCCTTTTTCGGGAGTCCGAACCCGACTTACCCCGGACCCGAGTTACCCCGGATAATTCGGGCGTCCAGAGCCCCAGAATCATCAGGGGTAACTCGGGTCAGGGATAACTCGGGTTCCTTTTTTCGGGAATCCAAACCCGAGTTACCCCGGACCCGAGTTACCCCGGAGAACTCGGGCGCCCAACAAAAGTGTCCCTGGGCTTAAGTCGTGCCTGTCCATCTACAGGAGGAAGATTCGAAAATAATTACAAGAATAGTCCGGGGACGATTCTTTGATTATTCTGACCCATTTTTAGGGGGGTATTTTTGCGTATTTTTCACTTTTCGCCCAGGGCTCCCCCTGCAGGGGGGACACGCCCGACTGAACCCTGGGCCACGGCTAGCATCAGCTGGCCACCTCACCGATGCTGGCCGTGGCCCCTCCTGGGCCCCAATGCTGGGTGCACGTGTCACCCCCCCCTGGCTCGGGCCAGGAGGGCGCTCGCGCCGATCCTGGATTTTGCCCGTGCGTGTGTGTGTGTGTGTGTGTGTGTGTGTGTGTGTGTGTGTGTGCGTGTGTTTACGGCTGGCGTAATATTGGATTTGTTGTGTGAATATGAATTTGTCTTAAACAGCATTGTAAAGCAGCAACCGATCTGCCACATGTTTGTTTTGCAGATATCTTCGCGCTCCTCCCTTTAACAAGACGTACGATACAATTAAAGACGCTACGTTTCGAGAGGTCAGCTATAATTTCCAGGCGGTGTGTGTGTGTGGCATCTGGCGCGCAACGATCGTTACCTGGGCCAGGTGGCGGTATCCGTGCACGCCGGTCGTTGAAAGTAGGTATTCCTGGATGCCCAGCTCCCAACCTGCTTTGGGCGCCTCACTACTTCAAGGGTCGAGCGGTTTTCCCTCTTCCCTCCTCTTCAGGGGGCTGGGCGGAGGCCCGATCTATTCTTAAGTCCTCACTGCTGCATGTGTTCCACTCTTCTTCCGACCGATGGGAATGTCTCTTGGCCAAGGCAGGAGGGCTATTACACTCAGAGGAGGAAAAGAGTAACCATACCGCTACCCGTCGCAGTTTTTCCCTTTTTGTAGGCCTCCTGGGAGTCCCTCGTTGCCACGGCTGGATTCGCTCCAAAATTCTGGTCAGAACACACCCCGTGAGAGAGGTCCAGGGAGTAGCGATATCGGTACTTTTTGTGTTTTCCCCAGTATTCACGCCGATCCTTCATAGAACCGCGCTGAAGTTGCTAAGGGGAAAGGGGTCGTCTATGTGGGTGCATTGGTGGAATATGCCTGGCCTTGTCTAGCTTATAAGTGGGATGACGGAGCTCACCTTGCAGAGTTGTCTGACCCCGTTCAGCCACGCGGGGCTCTTGCAACCCCCATGTATCAGCTAGGCCAGGCCAGGTATAATATCCCACGTCAGTATCCATCCACACGCAGCCCCACCTGACCCCCGAGCAACCTCAGCGGTGATCCAAGAGGCCCAGGACAGGCCTTTGCCAGGATTGGTGCAGGTGCGTAGCTCCACCAGAAAAATACGACACAGACGCCCTCCAATGGACTGTTCCCGGGCGCTCGAGGGGAGGGTGTTGGTGCATAAACTACCACCAAGAGCCAGCGACTATACACCGCAAAGTTCGTCGGAGGGTGCCTGTGTATATCAGTTTGAGGGGGCCGAGCGGTCTGACACCATCCCTGAGTGCATGGGTGACATCGGGATCCGCGGCCTGGAGTATGCTTGTTGTTTGTTGCTGCTGCTGTTGTTGGTGGTGTGGATGATGTTGGTGTTGCCGTCGTCAGTGTTGTGATCGTTGTTGTTGTTATTGTTGCTGCTGCTGTTGTCATCGCTGCTGCTGCTGCTGGTGTTGCTGTTGGTGTTGTTGTTGCTGGTATTGTCATTGTTGTCGGTGTTGTTGTTGCTGTTGCTATTGGTGCTGTTGTTGCTGTTGTTGTTGCTGTTGTCTTCGTCGTTGTTGTATTGTGGTGTTGTTGTTGTGTTGTTGTTGTTGTTGTTGTTGCTGTTTTTGTCGTCGTGCTCACCCGTGATCCGCCTGCGACGCACCCGCGACCCACCCCGCGACCCACCCTGCGACCCACCCGCGACCCATCCGCAACCCACCCCGCGACCCACCCCGCGACCCACCCCGCGACCCACCCACACTGCTTTGACGAGAAACCCCGTGCTTGCGGCGGGCTCGTTGGAAACAGATGTAAAACACTACCCTGGCGAAGAACCCAACCCACTGTACACAAATGGCGACACGTCGCAGGATCGATCAATGCACACGAACGCACTGAAGGATCTGCAGTTCTCCTGGGGGCCTCGCCAAGAAACGGAAAACTACATTTCAAGTAGTTCCACTCGCGCCTTCAGTTGCACGACTCAAATGGGACACGAGAAATGGGGTGCACCGGAATGAGGATGTATCTGCATGCGAACCCTGTCACCGGGGCCTTCGGTTGAGCTCCCTTATGGGACCACGAAACGTGTGAGGGATGCGCCGAAATGAGGGTGGCACTGCATGTGAATCCTTCCACTGGTGCCCTCGGTGGAGCAAATGGACCCGGGTACGCATGCGAACACTGCCACTGGGGCCTTCGGTGGAGATTCCGATGGTGCCACGAAACGTGTGAGGGGTGTGCCGAAATGTACCCAGGTACGTATGCGAACCCTGCCACGGAGCCTTCGGTGGAGTTCCCTAAGGGGCCACAAAACGTCAGAGGGGTATGCCGAAATAGACTCGGGGTTTCATGCGAACCCTGCAACTGGAGCCTTCGTGATCACCGTGATGGTGATGATGATGATGATGATGATGATGATGATGATGCTGCTAATGATGATGATGGTGATGATGATGATGCTGATGATGATGATGCTGATGATGGTGGTGGTGGTGGTGGTGGTGGTGATGATGATGATGATGATGATGCTGATGCTGATGATGATGATGATGATGGTGGTGGTGGTGGTGGTGATGATGATGATGATGATGCTGATGATGATGATGATGATGATGCGGACGAGATGGTGGTGATGGTGATGACGATGATACTGATGTCGGTGGTGGTGATGATGACGATGATGATGCTGCTGATGACAATGATGATGCAAGTGATGATGCTGATGCTGACGATGACGATGCTGATGATGATGACGATGGTGATGATGGTGATGATGGTGATAATAGTGATGATGGTGATAATGATGCTGATGCTGCTGCTGCTGCTGATGATGATGATGATGATGCTGATGATGATGATGCTGATGATGATGATGATTGTGATGATGATGATGATGATAATGATGATAATACTGATCATGCTGCTGCTGATGCTTATTCTGATGATGCTGATGATGATGATCATGCTGATGATGATGATGATGATGATGATGATGATGATGATGATGATGATGATGATGATGATGATGATGATGACGCCTCGAATTTAAGTACGAGGGCCCAACTCACATGAGGGCGAGGCGAGGAGGAGGATCCCAAAGCAGGGACACAACACACAGCAGGGTTGGGAAGACAACCCGGCGCCCGCGGATGGGCTAGTTCGGAGCCTGCCGCCCCCGCTTTCACTGCGGTGTGCTACGTACATACAGTCAACCCGCATAGTAAGGATGGGCAACCTTCCCAAGGGGACCCTTGCATCCTCGCCTCCTCGGTCCATCCTCCACCACTTTCGCTGGGCGCGCCCCGCTCGCAGGGTGCCGACACGGCCCTCCGAGGCCCCCGCATCCTCACTGCGCACCCTCGTGATACGGGCCGACTGTGCACTCGCGGCGGACTAGCCGACGCCCTCCCGCCCTCGGCGCCCCGCCGCCCCGCCGCCCGCGCGCCATGGGCGCGCGCGCCGCGGCGGCGTCGCCGCGGCGATGCGGCCCGGGCCGCCCGGCGGCCGAGGCCTGCGGCCGCCGGGCAGCCCCGCCGGGCACGTGCCCGTGGAGGAGGGCGCGCGCCGCGCGCGCGCGCCCCCGGGGGGGGGGGGGGCTGAAGGTGTTGGGCGTCGCGTAAATGGGGGGTCATGAATTCGGGACGATCGAGATGGATGCGGAAAGAACGGGTACAATGCCCAACAGCAGTTCCTGTTCATTTTGAGCAGGGCTCGCTGTCGGTGTCGCCGCGGCCTGTGTCCACTTGAAACAGAAGGCCGCCTGCCCAACAGCGGCCGCTGTTGGCTTGGGACAACATTTGTTGTTGGGCATTGTACCCATCTTTTCCGTACCCATTTCGGCGGTTCAAATACATGAGGGGTGGCAAGACCGACAGCAATTCCTTTCCATTCTGAGCAGGGTCTGCTGTCGGCGTCGGAGGGAAAGGGGAGGGGAGGGAGGGGGGGATGGAGGGAAGGGAGGGGGCGGGGGGAGGGAGGCAGGGAGGGAGGTAGGAGGAGGGAGTCGAGGGGAGGACGCGGTGGCAGGGCCTGGCCCTGGGACCCTGGCGCCGCGGGGCGCGCCGCCACCCCCGCGCGCGAGGTCCCCCCCCCACCCCCCCCGCGAGGAGGAGGAGTGGCCCGTCAACCCCTGGCAGCCTCAGGCCGACGCGCACATACGGCAGCTGCAGGCCGCCCGTTGGGGCTGCCGCTCGCCCCGCCGCGCCTCGCCACCGCCTCGCCGCCGCCTCGCCGCCGCCGCCCGCGGCCCCTCGGCGGCCCCTCCTCGGCGGCTGCCGCTCGCCGCCGCGCCTCGCCGCCGCGCCGCCGCCGCCGCCCGCGGCCCCTCGGCGGCCCCTCGTCGGCGGCGCCTCGGCGGCGGCGCCTCGGCGGCGGCGCCTCGTCTCAGAGTGTTCGGGCGCCTGCGTCGGTGCTCGGCGGCCCGTGTCGGCTTCGGGGTGCCCTCCAGCAGCCTGCGCCTCGCCCTCCTCCTCCTCCTCCTCCTCCTCCTCCTCCTCCTCCGCGCCCTTTGGGGGGGGAGGGGCCCAGGTTTGCCCCGAGCGAGCGCCAGAGGCCCGAGCTGGGAGCCCGAGAGCCAGACGGCGAGGACCACCTGGGCTCAAGTCGGGCACGTCCCTCTACAGGAGGAATGTTCAAACATAGTAACAGATAGTCGGGGGACGATCTGTCGAGTATTGTTTTGACCATTTTGGAGTATTGTTTTGACTATGTCTTGCTTTTGTCCAAAATCCGCCTGTAGGAGGACATGCCCGACCTAAACCTGGGCGGGATGAGCTCAGGGAGGCCGCTGGCCGTCAGAGGAGGGCGCGCCGACAAACAATTGCCGTTTTTCTCCCTGTGGCCCCCTCACCGCCACGGCTGGACGCAGCTCGGGAGATTGGGTCCCTCGAGAGTAATAGAGAACCCCCAGCCTTAACAACGCAGTGAAAACGTGACCTCACTGAGGTCCACGTCTTTGCATTGGAGGTCATAAATATGGGCGGTTCGTCTCGAAACATTTGCAGGACAGAGCCCCTGGACCTCATGCGCAGGGCCCTCCCAACTGAGGTCCCTTCCCACAGATTGTTGCGTCCTGTCTTGGTCGTAGTCATGGTGCGTTTGGAGCCGAGGAGGCGTCCGGGGACAGATGTTGTGTCGCTGCTGTCCCAGCTCGCCCTCCTCCGACCTCGGTCGGCCCCTTGGCCGCGTGCCCCCCCCAATGGCCCCCTCGGAGGAGGATGACGAGGAGGCGGACGAGGAGGGGAGGAGGGGGAGGAGGAGGAGGAGGAGGAGGAGGAGGAGGAGGAGGAGGAGGAGGAGGGGGAGGTGGTGGATGAGGAGGAGGATAAAAGGGGGAGCCGGAGGAGGAAAAGAGGGAGGCAAAGGAGGTCTCGCAGTAGGCAGAGAAGGAAGAGAACAAGGAGGCGGAGGTGGAGGAGGAGGAGGAGGGGGAGGAGGATGAAGAGGGAAAACGGAGGGAGGAGGAGGAACAGGAGTAGGAGTAGGAGGAGGAGGAGGAGGAGGAGGAAAATAACTAGGATGAGGAGGGAGGAGGAGGGAGGAGGAGAGGAGATGTTTCATTGGTTTCGGGGGTTGCCCGTGCTATGTTTTCCATACTTGAGCTATGGCCTCGCACTCGAGAGCTTCTCGGACCCCTGCAGCGGGTTCCCAAGGTCCCTTGCCGGCAGAGCTCGTTTGCGAGGATGCCCCACATCCAGGTCTGGGACGGGAGTTGCTGGATGCGTGTAGCTTGCCATGGGTCTGGATCCAAGCTGCTGGCCACCACGTGATGTTTCTCCCTCCTGGCTTCGTTTCAAGATGTGCTCCGGAAGGCGCTGAAACCCGAGTGCGGACATCGGATTCGTGTGACGGTTGTGTCTTCGACGGGTGTGCCCGCACTCTTCTGCAGCGCGTGCGGTCCCACCTCGAGGCGCGCGGCTCGTCTCAGGGCTCCCGCGTGCAGGCCAGCATCGAGTGCGGGATTGCGGGGGTTTCGCCGTGGTCTATCGCCAGGGTAGCGGGGAAGGCGGAGCTCGACCCTCTGGCACCCATGAGCCCCGCGACCCGCAGGCGTCTCGCCTTCCTCCTACACCCCCTCCACCCAGGCGGTGCGACACTCGGCTGACCAGGAGGCCAGCGCGCGCCAGGAAGGGCAGGGATCGGGACAGGTGGGGAGCTGGCCCGGCAGGGCTTGGGGTGCTTCCTTCGCCCTGTCCGGCTCCTCTCCCTCCTCCTCCGCCTTCTCCTCCTCCTCCGTTTCCTCCCCCTTCCGTCGCCCTCGGCCCCCAGACGGCCGCTCCCGCCGTGAGAGGAGGCCACGGCGGGTGGCGGCAGGCCCGCCCTCGGGCAGCTTGCCGTGCGGAGTGCCCGTTGCTCTTCCCCGTATGTTTGCTTTCCCTTTTTGGAGGGGGGTCTCCTGGGCGGCCCTCGTCGCCACCGCTGGATGCGCCCTGAGATCCTGGTCAGGGCGCGCCCCAGGAGAGGTCCGGGGAGAAGCCGCAGCAGAATCGGGTAGGCGGCTCTTCCGCCTCGGGATGTCTTCAGCGTCGGCGCCTCGCCGGTTGGACCAGCGATAGGGCGTCGGAGGAGGAGGAGGAGCCTCGAGCGATGAATTGTTTATGGGCCTCCTCTAGAGAGTTCTCCCCCTCCTTCGCCGCCGCCTCCTCGTCGCGTCTTGGGCCTCCTCCTCCTCCTCCTCCTCCTCCTCCTCCTCGTCCTCCTCACCTGACGCTTCCTCTTCCACTCCTCTGGAGCCTCCACCTGCTCTTCCCTCTTTGCCGAGCTCCGCCGCCCTCCCTCCTCCCTCTCACCCCCTCCCCCTTCGCCCTCTCACCCCCCCTCCTCCCTCGGAGTTTTCTCCTGTAGGGCCGCGCCCCCTCCCCCTACAGAGTTCTTGAGGTGTGCGTGTGTGTGTGTGTGTGTGTGTGTGTCTGTGTTTGTGTCTGTGTTTGTGTCTGTGTATGTGTTTGTGTGTTGTCATGGTAATCGCCTTTCTAAGCTTCATAGCCCGACTCCGCCACGCTACGCTGCGCGCGTGGCTGCGACGCCACGCACACACATATATATATATATATATATATGTGTTTGTGTTTGCACGTGTATCTTCTAGCAACCGCTGGCGTGTGTGGCCGTTTCCTGTCACAGGTTCGCCTGGAGGCCGCGCCGGCGCGGATGGCCGGGGCGCTGCCCTTCGCGCTCGGCGTGGTGGGAGACCTGGTGCACCAGGCGGGCCTGGCGGCGGTGCTCTGGGCTGGGCGCCCTCCGCCGTGCCCGCAGTGCCCGGCGTGCCCTGGCTGCCCCCCCTGCCCAGGCGCGCCTGACCCTGGGCCGGACTGGCGCTTCCAGCCCGAGGCCTCTGCAGCGGGCTGGGGCTGGCTGGCGCTGGCGGCAGCGGCGGGGCTTGGAGGCGTGGCCGGGGCCCTGCTGCGCCGCCGCTCAGCAGCGGCCGCGCGCTCAGCCGAGAGCCCCAAGGGCGAGGATGGCGGGACTCCCACTGGAGTGGGGGTACGCGTTGTTCAACAACCCCGCGGCGCCTCCGCCCCTGCTCTGGCACCAGCGCCTCTGCCACGGGGTGGTGGCGTCATTGGGGGCTGAGGAGGTGGTGATCACGTCGCCCGACGGAGACACCTACGTGGAGGACTACAGGGCGACGACTGGCGACGTGATCGCCTTCCGCAGGGCAGCTGGCCGCTGGCCGCCCCCCGCCGGGCTCCCGCGCGGTCAGTGCTACCGCTTCCGCGCGGAGCCGACGCCGGCGCAGCTGGTGCAGTGGCGGGGCGAGGCGGAGGCTGCTGCGCGGGCCTACCAGGCGGCGCAGGCGGCGGCCCGCGGGCTCGCGGTGCTGGCGCCCGGCGCCCTGGCGCTGCTGCCGATGCTGCCCGCCGGAGACGCCGGAGCCGCGGCGGCTGGCGGGGCTGTGCCCGCGGGGGCTGGGGCTCTGGTGGCGGCGGCCCTGCTGCCGGCGGCGGCGGCGCCAGCGACTGGAGGAGCCGCGGGAGGCGCGGGCGCGCTGGTGGCGGCTGCAGGAGTGGCGGCGGTGACCCACCACTGGGTCAGCGTGGAGACGCGTGCTGGGCTGTCACGCGGCGACGTGGTCGCGCTGAATGGCAGTGAGGTCGTCCAGGGCGAGCGCGCGCTGATGGAGCATCCCGCCGGCGGAGGCGTCTGGATCTGCTTGGCCCTGGTGTCGGTGACTGGCACGGACGAGTACAAGGGGAGGGAGGCCGCCGCGGACGCGAGGCTGCTGGAGGTGTCCAGCTCAGCGGGCGGCCGCCGCAGGCGGCTCTGGCGTGACGGCGTAGAGATGCTGAAGGAGGAGGCCTTCCCGGACTTCCCCGTGCCAGGCCCGCGCACGATGAAGTGGGCGGCCGAGTTTCTGAACAAGAAGACGGGGCCACGTGAACATCACAGGTGGTGGGTGAGCGTCTCGCGGCTCTACAATGACATGTGGGGCGTGCAGGGGCACGAGCTCATCGTGCAGGTGCTGGAGCTGCTGGTGACCTACGACGGCGCGGATGTCACCAACCTCGCGGGGGCCGAGCTGTTGATTCGCAAGGCTCAGATGATTGAGTACTCGTACTCGGAGGCAGGTCCAGCTGGCCTCGGAGTCACCGACGGGGACGAAGGCGGCGGCAACGCCAAGAAGAACAAGGGCCGCGGGAAGGGCGGCCGCTCCGCGGGGGTCTACGATGAGACGTCGATCTTCATGGGAGCGCACAAGGAGTTCGGGGACCTGCTTCTGGACCCGCAGCTCCTCGACTACGTGGCGAAGGAGGTGGAGATGGACGCCCAGGTCATGAAGCAGGTGCGAAAGGCGCGCGAGGAGAGAGTCCTCGCGCGCAAGGCCGATGCCTGAGGACCTCCCGCGGCGGTCTGCCCCCTGGGCCGCCGTGGAGGGGGGGGGGGGGGGCAGCGTCTGGAGTGGGCTGGGGCGCTGACAGTTGTGGAGGACAGCCCACTGATGATTGGCGGGTGCCGCGTGATGGTCGGCAGCGCGACTTGCTGCCGCCCCCTCGACTTCGTGAGGGGGCCGCTGATGCACTGAGTTTTGTTTCGCATGCTGGGGCCCGACATTGTCGAGCAGTGCGGCGACGTGCAGATCGGCGGGGCCACGACGACTACTGGGCGAACTGCATGATCGACACGCTGAACGAGATGGCGGGCGGTCCTGTGCCACCGGGCGCTGGGCCAG